TCTAAGGGTCCGCCTGCTAGGTAGCGGAACTATATACTGCGCTCTTGACGCGCCAAGGTTGATCGTTGCTCCGTGCAGTATGCCTGCGCCATGTCGCAGGCCAGGTCCCAGGGGGATCGCCAGGCGGGGGCGGCGATGCGCCTGGCGGAGGCGGTGATGCGATCGCCGGAGTCGGAACCGGAGTCGGACCGGAATCGGAATCGTCTCCGAGGGGCCGAAAGGGAGGTTCCCCTGACACGGCCCATCTGGCGACCTGGGACGTGGTGCAGCGTGAAGTCAAACCTAGAAAAGTACAACGACCATCGGGCTTGCCGACGGTTAAGGTGCTGTGCCTTTCGGAAATACTCCAAATTCTTATGGTCAGTCCAGATCTCGACCGGATGCGCGGCACCCTCGAGGAAATGCCGATACTCCTCGAGTGTGCGGATGATCGCAAGCATCTCCTTGTCGTGAATCTCGTAGTTGTGCTGGACATCATTTAAGCTTTTGGAATAGAACGCTACAGGGTGCCACTTCCCGTCCGGGGCGGATTGTTGTGAAAGAACCGCCCCCGTTGCATAATCTGAGCTGTCTGCTTCAAGTCGGAAAGGCCGAGAGTCGTCCGGGATCGCTAAGACGGGCTCTGAGACGACCGCGTCTTTGATAGCTTGAAAGGCGGCGGCTTCGGCGTCTCCCCAGGTCCATTTCTGGTCTTTCTTGGTGAGCGCAAAGAGAGGCTGCGCGAGGGCCGAGAAATCCCGAATGAACCTGCGGTAGAAATTAGCAAACCCCAGAAACTGCTGGACGTCCTTCTTGTTTTCGGGCGGAGGCCATGCGGAGACTCCGGCGACCTTAACAGGATCTATTTCAACGTGGTTGTGAGAGATGATAACCCCCAGGTACTCGATTGACGATTTCTCGAAGTCGCACTTCTCCTTGCGAAGGTACAGCTTGTGCATTCGGAGTCTCTGAAGGACTTTGCGGACGATCTCGCGGTGCTTACGGAGGTCCGAATGTGCGATAAGGATATCGTCGAGGTAGATCATAACGTCTCCTGAAAGAATGAGATCCTGGAAAATGTCATTCATCATCGTCTGGAAAGTCGTGGGGGAGTTCGTCAGGCCAAAATACATCACCAAAGGTTCGAACAACCCTCGGTTAGTCCGAAAGGCCGCCTTCCACTCGTCTCCTTCTTTAATCCAGACGTTATTGAAGCCCCAACGAACATCGAGTTTAGTGAAATAACGGGCACCCTTGAGCCTGTTGATAAGGTCATTAATCAATGGGAGGGGGTACCGGTTCTTAATCGTCATTGCGTTGAGGGCGCGGTAGTCCTGGACAAACCGAAGTCCTCCGTCCTTTTTCTTAATGAAGAAGACGGGGGAAGCCATCGGAGATTTCGAAGGGCGGATACGGCCGGTAGCAAGTCCCTCCTCGATGAACTCGTCAAGTTCGCACTGTTCAAGGGGGGAGATCGGATACACCTTGCAATTAGCGGGCTTCGCGTCGGGAACGAGTTCGATAGCGTGGTCCCAAGCCCTCCGCTCTGGTAACGTGTCGAAGGACTCCTTGTCAAAGACGTCTTGGAACTCCTTGGCCCAGTCCGGAATTTCCGAAGGCGGGGGGGCCGAGTTACGGGCGAAGGCCTCTGCAAGGCGTTGGGACACGGTGCTCCCAGCGCGAATCTCCTCGGTTGGGCGAAAGGAGGTGTAGAAGATGCGGTCGCCGTCTTCAAGATGCTCGTCGTCGTCGAGGTCTGGCGAGGGACTCGGAGGGTCCGAAGTAGCTCCGAGTTCGTCGTCAGCATCGTCTGGACCGGCAATATTGATAGCACAAACGGTGGGGAAGGCGCCCGAGAGCAAACGCGATTTGAGGAGTCGGAGGCGCCGAACCTCAGCGCGCTCGGTCCGTTCCTCGTCGCGGCAAGTGGAGCAGCTCCGGGGGCATCGACTCATTTTCACCTCTTTCATTTCCCAGTTGATCTCGGGGTTGTGTTTCTTGAGCCAGGAGTATCCGAGTATCAAGTCCTGTTTCCCAAGGTGGGTTACAGCCAGCTGGACGCGTTCGGAGTGTCCGTTGTACCGTAGAACGAGGTCCGCGATTTGGCGAATAGACCCAGCATCATTGGGGGTACCGTCGACATTGTAGACCAGTATGGGTACTGAGAGATTTCAGACTGGCACGTTGTTTCGGTTGACGTATTCTGTGTCGATAAAGTCCGAAGTGGCTCCGCAGTCGACCAGACCTGAGAGGGAGAGCTTGAGCGCGTTCGCAGTAGACTCAAGTTCGAGAGGAAGGTGGAGCGGGTTAACCCCAGGAGCGGCAGAGATGGTATAGCTGCCAGGTAGCTTTTTCTCCCAGGCAAGTCGGCGAATCCGAACGGGGGCTTCGGAGGGGGCAGGGGGTGCGTCTTTCGTTTCAGGCTCGTTGTAGGGCAAGGGAGTTGATTCATCATACAAACAAGTGAAACGATTTATGGACGCGAACGAGGGCACACCAGTCACTCGTCGCGGGGGACAAAATCCTCTGCCGGAGCCTCCGAATGCACCTCCGTTAAGGCCGTGGTATCGGACAACCGCGCAAGCAGCTCTCCCAGCATCTCGTCGCCAAGTTGCTGGATTACCTCGTCAAGGATGTCCACATGGCGAACATCGGCGGGGAGCGGACAATCCCGAGCCAAGTGGTTGGGGTCGCCACATCTGAAGCAGGCTCGACGAGGGGCGCCCTGAGCCCTAGTACGATCCAACTCCATAGGGACGGGAGCCGGAGGTACCGAGACGGGGGCGCGGGCCGCGGGTGGCGCAGGTGCAGCCACCGGGCGGATGGGGAACAGAGTTGCCGAACGGGCGATAGGGAATGCGCCACGCGGAGCCCCCGAAGGCGTCCGCGGGGTGGTCCCTTTGATGAGCTTCGCCCGTACCAAGGCTTCGTATTGGCGGAAAGCCCGAGTGCGCCAGCCCAGATAGTCACGGAGGTCTGGGGGGTCGTTCGAGGACGTGATGCCATTGTTGATCAGGGGGTCAAGTCCATGGCGGTACTTGGTCACCTTAACCAACACGTCTTCGAATCCGGCGAGGTCCATTAGGTCCTCGAAGTCGTCGGTGTATCCGTAGACGTCCCGCGTTCCCATGTGATAACCCATGCTTTCCAACTTGGCGAGCGCGAGGTCTTGCTCGTTCTCCTCAACGAACCGAAGGCGAAACTCGGAGAGGAATAGGTTCCACCGAGGGAAGGGGAACGGGGTTTTGCTTCCATGACGCTCTGCCCACTGCTGGGCAGGTCCCTCCGCCATGTCCTATATGGCGTAGCGGACGGCCTTTTCTTCGCTCGGCTCTCCGTTGACCACGAAGGCCTCCGGGGCAAGCCGGGCATAGGTCTTGACCGTGTATAGGAAGGCGCGGCCACGTTTGCAATCTCCGTTAAACGCAAACGGGGGGTTTGGCCGTAAGACCAGTTTTGAGGCGACAGTAATGTCACCAAATAACGCATCCGCATCGGGGGCATTCGGAGATGCCGAAGGCGGTTCGGGAGCTGCCGAAGGTGGTGCGGCAGCGGAAGCCTGGGAAGCAAGGTGGGTGAGGATATTGGTGAGGTTGTCTAGTTTCGCCTCAAGTGCGTCCATGCGCGTGTCAGCGTCCGGAGCAGCTCCGGTAGACATAGCGGGCGTAAAGACGACAAGAGCAGAGGAGGAGGGGTCAAGTGGCAGGGGCGGTGACAAGGGGGGTACGGACTCGTACTCTGAGCCTGAATCAGCGCCAAACCTGGCAATCTTGACCGATTAATCCTGTAGAGAGTTTCTTCTGCTGTAAGGGCAACCCTGGAGACTCCGACGAAAGCCTAGCAGGGGAGGATCCAAAGCGTGAATAAAAGCTACGGGAAATACACGGAGGGACCAACCTAGCAGGGGAGGATCCAAAGAGAAGAAACTCTAAGGGTCCGCCTGCTAGGGCGCCAACTATATACTGGTCGTCCGTAACTGCTGACGTAGAGCGCAGAAGGCCTGAGCGGTGTCGCAGGCTCTGTCCCAAGGTGATCGTTGGGAGGGTCTTGACGGATTGGTGATTGTGCGGGCGAAGGAGGCCGTGGACGATGGTCGGGGTGGGTCGGAGCGTCCGAGGGGGCGCCGGTCGGATGTGCCTCGGATGCATTCGGAGGGTCCGAAGGAGGCCGAAGCGGGGGTTCCCCTGACATTCAGCTGAAAGCAAGGATTTTAGGATGCAACTGAAACTTGTACCAATAATTTCCAATATCAGAACCCTGTGGGGGACTTGATGTTCTAATGCATAGACTTCAGTCCAATGTTCAGTTGCATACTTGAAACCTTGTTTTCAGCTTGAACTGAAATTTACACTGAAATCAGTGAGTTCAGCATGAGAATCAGCATCACCAAAAGGACTCATTTCAGAAGACACAAAAATTGAGCTGAAAATAGTGCATTCAGCATTACTTCCACTATATACTCACAGCTGTGTTTTAGGTAGCCAGTAAAACTGTTGCTGAAATCACTGCTTTCAGTGCAAATTTTGGACAAACTGATAATATTGTTTTCAGTTCCAATTTCAGAACTATCTGACACCACAATAAAAAGCATCATTTTCAGTTACACTGAAAGATACCATTTTAAGTGTGTCATAAACAAGTTACTGCAAAGGCAATATTATGACCCAGTTATCTATAAGCCAAACTCCATCACCAATGGCTGAATCCCTGCTTAGACTGGAGATGTATGAGAGCTAATTCTCGATAGAAGACAAGTTTATGGACCTTCTGTGTATGTAGAGTCATGGAGGCGGGCCGGACGACCCACTTCCTGGGTCGAGGGCGAACAAACGGTCCAGGGTAGGCCTCAACTTCGGTCAACAGTTATGCCCAACGATTCTGTCAAGTGTTGTATTCGTTCCGCAAGCGTCTGCACATCCGCAATCGTGGGCCGTGAATGCACATGTCCCGCTTTTGTCGTGCCTGCGGTTAGCTGACCAAGCATGTCTTGGAGCGCCTCCATCTCCCGGCGCTCCTTCAGTTCAGGGTCCCTCGTCGACGCCATATTCGTCGTCATTGTCCAGCGCGAGATGCTCACGTGCGTGTGCCTCCGCCTCGAGATCGCGCGGGGCGATGTCTGAGAAGCGCACGTCGGCCAGACTGGCAGAGATTTCGCGGGCTTCTGCAAGTAGTGCATCTTTGTCCGCTCGTTCGCAGAAAGTAGACTGGAGAAAAGAGATGACGGCAGAGACAATGCCGCGCAGGTGCCCTATTTCCCGGCCCAGCGGTACGCCGACTTGAGCGAAGCCGGCGTCGAAGCCCTCTTGCAGCGCCGATTCCTTGCCAGCGGTGATGCCTTCCCGATAACCCGCCTGGGGCGATGTGAAGAAAGGCCATGTGGTTCAGCGAGGGCGGCATACGTTGGTAAACTCAGACGAGATCTTATCCCATTCGGCGTCACTAGCCGTTTGAGCTGTTGCATCGTCATCCCAAGGAGACTCCATCGCACAGGTCAAAATTAAAAACAGAGATCACCCGTGACGTCGTCATTTCTTCCTCCTCTCGCCGAACCATGTCAGAACAACAAGCAGGCGAAGTCAGCGCCGTTCCATTCGTCCGTCTCAGGCTCGCTGACATTATGGCAGGCAGTACCAGCAGCCCAACGAGGCAGCTGGACCTCGTTCCTGAAATCGTACATCTCCCACTTCCCGCAAGTTTATTAGATGCACTGAACCGTATCACCCAGGATCGCCTCGTTCTCGGGAGATTTATCGTCCCTGGTAAAGTCGTCGCCTCCAAACAAATCGTGTTGCTCATCGCTGCAGACCGCACCGCCGTTTATATTGTCGGCAAGTCAACAAGTATCTTGGCTGCGGAATTGTCTAAACTCGAGGACTTAGCCTGTCTCGCTGACCGAGTTTCCTGGTGCGCTTCACATCTACCACAAGCATTCAAGACGCTAATTATTCTCTCAGCATACTGGTGTGAGCGCCCAGAACTCTTCGCTGCAATTGCCGACGCGACCACCGAGGAAGCACGGGCGCTTGCTGTCCTCAAATGGTTTATTGTGAGCTTCCACCTCGCTGTTAGCCGCAGAAGCCCAACTGACTCCTCCCAGAGTACCCTGAAGGGCCAATACACTTCGAGGAACGAGAGCATGGGCAGCGAAAAGAAGTGCGTCACCTCTGCTTCGCCACTCTTCACATATGCTCATTTCCGCCAGGCCGCTTAATCCGGCACTGGGAGAGTGCGTCGCTGCTTCCTCGTGCCGGGGGTCCCAATAAGGATTAATCACCTTGCAGGCTGTTCTACGGCAACTGGCCCGACAAGGACGGGCGCGGCAAGACCGATCTGCTCGTTGAGCAAGTGTCGCACCACCCTCCCATCACCGCCTATGTCATCGAGAACCAAACCAAGGGCATCAAGCTCGTTGGCCATAATGCGCAGAAGACCAGCTTCAGCGGCGGGTCTATCATTGTCAAGCAGATTGGGCACGCGGTTCTAACCGTCAAGCTGCCCTCCGGTGCCGATGTGCAATACCTCCTCACGCTTCCGCGCTTGCGTATCGACGGCTTGTGGTCCGTGGCAAGCAACATCTGATTCCATAAAAGCCTTAATTATATTCTTAGGTATGGCTCGCCATATATTGAGCTCGCTGAGAGTTCGTATATCATCGGGGGCGGATATGTCGGGGTCATCGACTACAAAGGGCGGGGGTACTTTTCCGGCAAATCGCATTCATTCAAGGCGACGCTCTCGCCTACCGAGAAGCGCGGCGACATCGTCGTCGAGGGTGTCTGGCACCAAACCAGCAAATTCGTCTCGGGCGGGCATGGCACTTTCCACGATGTTTCTGCACCCAAGGAGGAGGTCACCGCCATGGGTGGAGAGGCGTCTGGCGAGATGGGGAGCATGGAGACGCGGAAGCTGTGGGAACAGGTCGCAAAGGGCATCAGGGAGGGCGACTATGAGTTGGCTTCTCGAGAGAAGAGCCGCATTGAGGTATGTTTGTTGTTATCGCGTCATTGTCCGGCTGAACTAATTGTTATACGTAGAACGAGATGCGGCAGCGAAGGAAGGACGAGGCCGCGAATGGAACCACGTGGCCTATGAAGCACTTCCAGCCTTTGGCGAGCGATCCGCTTTGTGAGTTCTTGGTCGGTTTGCTGGATTCAGAACCTGATCTCTCTGCCTAGACGAGGAGCTCGCTCCTTTAGCCAGCATCACACCCGCCTCGGAGGATACCTACGTCTTCCAAAACAACTGGCCCACGACAATCCGACCTTGAACGACCCCCCTCATTATAATGATTACGCGAAGAACAGACAACCGCAGACTCAGCATGGATAGTGTGGATTGAATCATACTACTTAGTGTACTAGACTCCAAACAAATTTTATTTTGGAATAATGAACTGAGCGAGTCGAGACCTGAGTTTCTAGAGCGGTTTATGTATGCCATGCGTGGTCATCCCACTCCGACTTGCAGTTGGATTCGATCCTGATGGGCCAACCGCTGTCTTGTCGAAGCCTTTCCAAAAGGGCCGCAATCACGATTTTGGGCTCGATCTGCTCCATCAGACCTTCGATCTGTGCCTCCTCCACAAGGATGTCGTATATGTCGACAAATTCGTCGTTGCGCACCATTCCATGGCCCAAGCAAAAGCTCTGAAGTCGTGCGACATCTCCACCCCCGGTTGACGTTTCGAATCGCGATTGGAGCAGAGACACAACGGCGGACTCCATCGATGCGGACCGCTCGGTCCGGCACAAGGACTTGCGGGACAGCTCGAGCTTTGAAAGGCGGGGGGCCAGCACAGAACGTGGAGTCCGATCTGCGGCACACAGCGCACGGAGGAAGGCGACGTCGACGCTGTCTGGTATGTCGATGACGAACTCTCGAAGTTCGGGATGCATTTGCAGGACGGAAAGTATATCTGAGGTAAACCTTTTGGCCGTGCCCGGGCTTGCTGATGCTAAACGCAGGCTGCGCAAAGACGAGGTCAAGGGGACACCGGTCAGGCAGCGCGGTTGGAATTGGAATTGGATGCTGAATGCCTCGAGCACGGGCGTGTCAAACAGGTGTTCAGCGTCGTCGGATGTATAATATGGGCCAGTAGTGTGTTTGAAGCAGGCAATCCGGAGCCTGGGAAGGGAAATTCCATGGGGTGGCAGGTTCGGAAGAGGATTCATAGGGAGAGAGATGCACAAAATGACGAGGTTAGATGGTTGGACAGAGGGGGGAGGATAATTTGGAGATGGGGAGTCGTCGGAATATTCGACCAACTGAGGCAAAGGAACATCGATGTCGTCCACGTCGGTATTCGTCTGGCAAGTAAACTTGAAAGCGAGAGCATCCAGTTTTGGGGCCGTTGAGAACCTAAATTTTACTGTGAGATCTCCAGAGAAGACGAGTCTTTGGAGGGCAGGGAAGTGATGAGATTCGAGATTGTTGAGACGACGAACCAGGCCGGTTTGGGGAAAGCTAAAACAAGCATATAGCCAGCGGTCGGAGAAGTTCAAGAGCGTGTCAAGAAGGTTGTTTGCGAGTTGATCGCCAACATGCAAACGAAACGAAATGAGTCGAGTTCCAGAGCGGTGAATGCTTTCGAGCACCCATTCCAACAAGCTTCGCCTTCTTCTTCGGACGAGTAGCTTTCTGTAGGCCTCGTCCGTCTCTGGTAAATAAGATGGATTGGTCTCTCTGATATCCAAAGTTGACCACAGCTCTTTGACCGAGAGGGCTATCGATCTCCAAGAACGACAAACGAGACCCAGACGCCAAGGCGGTAGCTCGACGCGTCGGTGAGTAAAGTCGGTATTGGGTAAGTGCGGTTTTAAATGAAGAAAAATTTCGATGAGTATTTCGACTGGGATGGCGCGTACCAGGGAGCTCAAGGCTGCCAAGGCACCAATTGGCAAAGCTCGATGCTCTATCTGAAACGCTTCTGTTTCGTGCAGTAGAACACTTTGAGATTGATTTTCATGAGATGGAACCAGAGTGAAATTATATGCGAGGGCGGGTTCCCAGGAAAACAAATTCTTCGTCATTGGAGGAAGCAGGTGATGTTGATTAGTCAGCTCATGTTGACCTTGAACCTCGCATCCACAACGAACGATCAAGTAAGGTTTCAATTGAAAGTCAGATTCGAATATCCTCATATCACGTTAGGAGGGTATCTGGAGATGACTGGAATACGGCAACAACACTGTACCTTCGCATGTTGCTTCAAATATTCATGGAGTGGGTGCGCGATGGCCGGCTTATAGTAGTCTACTTGACATGAATTGCAGCCGGTGAGTCCTCGAGGCGACCACACAAGCCGATTAAAATCCAACCTCGCCTCTCTCAGAATCTCTCTTCATCCCAGCATCGTCAATTTGAACTTAAAGCATGTCTCTGTCTGAACTTGAAACCATCGTGGCCAAGGCAAATATCTTTTATAATGGTCGATTCAATCATATGCTCATTCACATTCTGGAACGTAGGCTAACGAAGCGTTGAGGACCGGTCACTACGAGGCTGTCTGCGACCTCTGCACATTTGCAATCGCGCTCAATACAAAAAGGTTGCCCAATGCCACGATTCAGAATGGGAGTACGAGGTGATTTCTCACCAAGTCTCTGGCGATAGCTAACCAGGATCAAATAGCAAAAAACCCCAATCGCCACTTGAGATAACAAGGACCCAAAAACTCCAGCAAAAGTTGTATCTCACCCGTGCGAGAGCGCGTAATTCGCTCGGGGATGGGGTTGGAACCCGCCACGGTTGGTTTATTCAACTTATATCCGATCGGTCACCCACACAAAGAAAGATTTGGATGCCTTTGTAGCATGTGGAGGACAGGAGAGCCTCGTCAAGCTCGTCGAGACGGAGTCTCTCCCGGTCAAAATTTCGAATGCTGACGAGGTCGACTCCAAACTTCCATCCCAATCGGTGGCATTTGAAGTCAAGCCAACAACTGCAACGGGCAAGGGCGTTTTCGCCACTCGTGAGTTCCATCGTGGTGATATGATTCTCTCCGAAAAGCCTATGCTTTCCGTCCAAGCTCGATCCACGCTTCAAGCCACGTATGAGGCGAGAGAGAACGCAGTCAAGGCGTTGGCTCCTCGGGACCTAGTCAAATTTCTTGAGCTGACCAATGCTTTTGACGACGTCCCACTCTTTACTGGAATCTATCGAACAAACACCCTTCCAGACGGCCTCGGTTTCCATGCATCCCACTTCAACCACTGCTGCAACCCCAACGCGCGGTATTCGTACCACCCTGACACAGGCCGCCTCCGCGTTTTCGCGTTGACGCACATTCCCGTTGGTGCTGAAATATTTGTCATGTATATTCAGGGTCGGAACATCTACGGCAGCACACGTGCTGTTCGGCAGGAGCGTTTCCGCACCAACTTCAACTTCACTTGTGTTTGTTCCGTCTGCAAGCTGGAAGGAGATGCGTTGATGGCGAGCGACAAGCGAAGAACCGAGGCTGGCTTGTTGTACGACGGTATGATGCGCCATGACCCATGGAGAAGTGGTGGTCTAGTTATTCGCGACGCCATCCGTGCAATTACTTTGCTTAGAGAGGAAGGGTACCATGCTGACGTGGATGACTTTGCAACAGATGCTGGTGGGTTGTGTGCTATGCATTCGGACTGGGAGAGTGCATTGTGGTGGGCTCGTTTGGGCTACGAAACACGCCAAGCCGAATTCGGAACAGATCATCCGCACGCCAAAAAAGTGAAGATATATGTGGACGATCCGAGATCGTACCCCCAGGCCGGGGTATTTAGCTCAGGAAAGAGGTTTATGCAGCGCGTCTGAGGCGTGGATGGGTATATTGAGGTATATCGGAGTGATAGAACACGATAGAAGACAAAGAAGGAAGTGTCAATATAATGTAATCAAGGTCACGCTTGCCATCGTCCCGTCCTCCGAAGCACTCTTAACCCTTAACCACTACCACGCCCGACATGTCCAAACCGGGCACCCCATCCTCCAACACCCTCCTGCTGCGCAGGCAGCTTACCGAGCTCACCAAGCGCCCCGTGGAAGGCTTCTCTGCAGGTGTGCTGAACGCGTTACTTCACCCACTGACTCGCGTTGACAACAACACTAGGTCTCGTTGACGAGAACGACCTGTACGAATGGGAGATTCTCATTATCGGGTTCGTTCTCTCCCCTGTACCCATTCATCGACTCACAGATTCATTGATAGGCCACCCGACACTCTCTAGTAGGCTACCACTGACTTGTCGTGCTGCCTTAGCTGACGCATTGGGTACAGTGAAGGAGGTTTTTTCAAGGCACGGCTTAGCTTCCCCCCGGAGTTCCCGTTGTTGCCACCTAAGATGCGCTTCATCACTCCAATGTGGCACCCCAACAGTCCGTCTGAGCCATCCGAACCACGTTTCGTTGCGCTAACTTTGTGTTTAGTCTACGCAGATGGTGTCGTGTGCATATCGATTCTGGTCCGTAGTTTTATGCCCCCTGGGAAAACGTTAGTCTGACGAGTATTAGCATGCGCCAGGGGAGGATCAATATGGATACGAAGATGCTGGCGAACGGTGGATGCCTGTTCATACTGTCGAGTCCATCGTACGTGTCTTGCCTCGGTTTGGTCAATCGATTGCTTGACTTGGTTACAGCTCATCAGCGTCATTTCCCTCTTGTCATCCGAAACCCCGAATCTCGACTCGCCGGCAAATATTGAAGCGGCTATCGAGATTCGTAAAGATCTCGCAGGCAAGTGTTTTACCATTTTTGGTTTGTGGGCGCGGGAACTCACGCCGCATTCCAGGATACAAGAAGAAGGTCCGACGGCTAGCGCGCCGAAGCGCTGAGGAGGCATTTGATTGAAAGAAATAAAGAAGGTTGTTATGTATAGTCTAAGAGCATTCGCTGTCTTTTGTACCACAACAGTTTTATAGCAGTCCTTTTCTTTGGTTGATCACTCTCCACCACCATGTGCCTAACACCAACCTAACACTTTGGCCCCAACCTTCGTCATCTCAAATAACCGAGCTCCCGAAACTCCGAAGAGGGTATGCCTATAAGTCCTTGAGTGACGAGTCGCATTCTGTATCGTTTCGATCGCGTTTCTGGTGGTGCGTCATTTTTTCCGCTATCTCTGTTTATCCCCGCCATAACATTCAACCTATAGGTGGCCAAGATGAGCAACGGCAGCTCAAGTCCGTCGTCTGAGCCTCGTCCTGCAGGTATCATGACCTCCAACGAGACCGGCATAAATTCCACCACAACGAAAACCAGTTCTGGCGCCAAGACGCCGCGCAAAGTCCAGTGGCTCGACACTCGCGGAGCCCCAGAGGAAGACGAGTCTCAATCAATGCACGCACTAGACGAGCATGCTAACGATGTACGTATAACAATCCTTCTCCCGTTCCCAACTCCATTCGAAACATTGAACAGCCAGACGCCTTCCGCAACCTCAAAACTGCGCTGGAGCGACATTCTTCCAAACCTAAACCACCCCGAATCCACTATTTCCCGCCGCGACCTGCGGGCCTGAGTCGCATCGACACCAACCAGCCGATTGTGCTTGACGCTCCTTCCTATTCTGCTCCGACGACTGGTACGACTTCCCCGTCTGACGAAGGCCCTTCTGTACCACCTTCGCCCAACCATACGGTCCCTGGCACGTATATCGGCCCCCACGAGAATGCTGGGTTACCAGGAACGGTTGATTCGGAGTATCATGCTCAGAGAGCGGCAACCAAAGTCGTTAGAGCCCACACGCGCAAAGGGTTCTTTGACCGCTTTGGTGTGGGGCGGAGGAAACGGAAACAGAAGGCCAAGGAGGAGCAGACGGTGGAGCGAGGGCACACTCGTAATGGAAGTATCAGCGATGCCGAGCAAAGCTTCGAGACTATTGAAGCAGCGAACCCGTCGCTTGGTGGTGGAGTTCTTTCGGCTCTGCTCACGCTATATAACGACCAGCCGCGAGCCAACTCTTCTGCATCCTCCACCTCAGGCATTGAGCTGTCTCACGATCTTCCTTGGATGAGCATGGAAACTCGTCCCAACACCAAGAAAAACACCATAGGAGAAAACTCTCCGCTGATCCAGCCGTCGTCTTCGCGGCAGACAACAACGACAGACTCGTCCGCGGATCCCCTTGGCAGATCGCACACGCGAGCTGGGTCAACGTCCTCCCTGGCGGCGTTGAAAAACATCCTCCCCATTTCGCAGAAACGGAACAGCGCTCACGCGTTTGGCGCGCTCATTGCAAGCACCGGAAACATTGCTGGTGTTGCTGCCCCAGTCTCTACCCAGCTCGCCCCGAATATCAAGCGACCGGGGTATCACCTTTCGCGATACTCGCTTGAGGAAGACCTCCCCGGACCTGTTGCACGCCCCAGGCCAAATGCTGCAGAGAAAATTTCGCGCGAAAGACCGCTGAGCCTGCCGCCTGTTGCAGCTACCGATTTTGCCCTTCCCCCTCCTGTGCTCCGGGGCTCGGCTAGCGTGTCGTCATTTGGTGGCGAAAGCAGCCTAGCTAGCAAGCGTGGCTGGACAGAAAAGCTTCGCGATATGGAAGCTTTTGCGTTTGGCGGACGTAGCGGGAGAACGACCCCGGTTCAGACCCCCTCTACGGCAACGGACGAGAACCCGGAATGGTTAGACGAGAAGTGGACAAAGGAGCAAGATAAGAAGAAGCGCGAGCGGAAGAAACGCAAGAAGGCGGAAGTTTACGTGCGTTTTCTTTACCCTTTTTTCTTACTTGCAGCTTGAATCATGTGTGTCAGATTACTCGACATGTCGCACAGATTATCCAGAGACAGGAGTTCATACTCAAACTGACGCGCGCGCTAATGATGTTTGGCGCCCCTTCCCATCGGCTGCAGACACAGATCCAGCAGACTGGACGGGTGTTGGACATCCAGGTCAACTGCATGTACCTCCCCGACGTCGTCCTGATTAGCTTTGACGACTCGTCAACGGGGACGAGCAATCTCAAGTTCATTAGGCAAGGCAGCTCGCTGAATCTGGCTAAGCTGATCGAGGTTTACGAGCTTTATTGGAGTGTGCGTTTTGTGTCACTTATCTTGGACTTTGTTGATGTTTCTCAGGTTATCCACGACGAGCTCTCCGTTTCCGAAGCATCTGCATCCTTGGACACGCTTATGCGCAGGAAGCAAGAGTACTCGTGGTGGCAGCTCGTCCTCACCGGCGGGATGTGCTCGGCCATGATCTGCTCCGTTGGCTTCAACGGCAGCTTCCTCGACTCGCTCATCGTTTTCCCGATGGGTGCGTTTCTTGTGGCGATCCAGCTGTTGAGTGTCCGCAACGAGCTTTATTCCAACGTTTTTGAGTTGGTCGCTTGAATCCAGATTTGATACGATACTGACATGCAATCTTCAGAATCACAATCGCGACGCTGTTCAGCTTCATCGCCGCGGCACTGGCACAAAGCGGCAAATTCTGCTATTCCGCCGTCGCCTCAAGTGCCGTTGTTCTCATCCTACCCGTAAAGACACATACAATCACGTGACACTTTCCTCACGTATTCCAGGGCTTCATCGTGCTGTGCGGCTCGCTCGAGATTCTCTCACGCAATATCATCTCTGGAAGCGTGAGGCTCTGCTATGCGGTTGTGTACTCGCTGTTCCTTGGGTTTGGGCTGGCGATTGGCGCGGAGGCGTACCACAAAATCACGGGACATGAGATTGTGGGCAGCACGGACTATGCCTGCCGGATTAACCATCGCGCGGATGGGCCGTGGTGGCAGCGGACGCCGAGTTTGCATTGGGGTGAGTTGGTCGTGTTAAAAGTAGTGTGTTGCTGACTAAGGGAATTTTTCACAGCATTCCTCACTGTGCCAATGTACTCGCTTTTCCTAAGCCTGCGGAACCACGCGCCGTGGCGGAGACGGGAAATGGCGCTGCTGGTAGGGATTGCGTGTATTGGATGGGTGACGAACCACTTTTCGGGCCTCAAGTTTCGTAACCAGAACGACATTACGGCTGCTGTCGGGTGTGTTTTTTTCTTGTGGAAGTGCTTGATTTAACCTGTTTGCAGGGCTTTCACGGTCGGTGTCATCGCAAACGTATGGGCGCGCTTCTTCTCGGGCAATGCCTTCGTTATTATGGTCTGTTGTAATTTCTTCTTTTTGCTTGTCTAACTCTCCGACTAGATAACGGGCATCCTGTTCCAGCTCCCGTCTGGGCTGGGCAATGGCGGGCTGCTGAACTTTGTCTCGGAGACGACCGCGGGCTCGTCGTCGTCGTACCTGTCGGGGTTCAAGACGGGGCTGCAGCTCATCTCGGTGGCGATCGGGCTGACCGTGGGGCTCGGCCTGAGCCTAGTGCTGGTGCACCCGATTCAGTCGCGCAGGCGGGGCGGCGCGGTGTTTAGTCTTTAGAATTGAAGCAGCAAGCAGAACAACAAGATAGAAGATAAGAAGATTGTATCAAGAAATCGACAACTTAGAGTAGAGTAGAGTAGAGTAGAATGGACGCTGACGTTCGTCGTTGTTTACTTAGAAGACAGAGTTGGCGATAGATGTATAATGTAGCATATAGCCTTGCAGACTGTAGGTTCGGATCAACTTGCCCCGATTCTGCCAGTGTTCAAGATTTGCCTCCTTTGCCGTTGGATTGTCAGACTCGTCGTACTGAAATGAACTGTAGCTGTGAAGTACTTCAGTAGCCTTTCATTGTTGATAAAAAAACTTCTCATCTTTGGTGGTAGCGTACCTGCAGGGTGACTTGCTGTGACTTGTTCAACACTCTTCAAGTTGTCACAGTCACTCCTCAGGCTGACTCTTGCTTTCAACAACGCTTTCGAGCCCCACAAACGAAGTTTTGAAACCTGCCATTTTTTCAAGTATGGACTCTACGAGTAATGCACAAGGCGCCGTGAAGAGGAAGGACATCACCGACATCGATCCCAGCTCCATGCCACTTGGCCCACTTCGCGCGGCTGCCCATATTGGCTCCAATGAAGACCCCAACGAGCAAGAAAACATCGCAAATTCTCCCCCATACAAACGTCAAAAACTCGACCAGGAACCCTTAGACTATGAGGCCCCCGTGACAGAACGCGCATCGCCGTCGCTCCACAGTGTAGGTTTACAAGCGGGAGATTCCGTCTTGCAATTCGCGGAGTCAGACTCGGCTCCGGCAGATGAAGTAGCGAGTGTGAGCGAGTATTCTGATTCGGTTGAAGCCGATCCACAAGCCTCGGGGGCAATGGTCTTCACCAATCTCGCCGCGGGTCGGGCAATCCTTTCGCAGCCAGGGGTCTGCAATCTCTGCATGGGCCCTGCTTATTATAAAGTTGCCACTCCGTCCGGCCAAATGGTCCAGTGTCTCCCCGCAGCTGCAATAACTGCTTATAATATCCGAACCCGTGCTGTCACCGATCATCTTGTTGCGAATGCTAGCGAACTGGAGATAAATGATGCCTCTAAGAACGGCATATGGCGTAGGTTTTGCTTGGGACCAATGCAATGTTGCTGAAGTCGGTCTTATAGTCTGCAGTACCTGTCATAATTGCCTCGACCATGGTGATATGTCGCTCATTCCTGCGGAGCCACTTCTTTGGGTCCTGTATAAATATTGGGAGCCGGAAACAGAGACAGCGAATGAGTTCATGGAGAAGATATTTGTCAACTCCCCTTTCCTCCGACACCTGTACCAACTCATTCACACTGGTCCAAAGCCTGTCTCCCTTTCTCTCCGTGCCGGACGTATTGTGAAAGTGGACCATGAAATTGCAGCCTTCCCCCCTTGTCGATACATCGTGCACAGTTACCGTGATCGTCTTTGTGCACTTCCAACCTTGGCAGAGGCTGCAGAGCATACAAAGGATGTTCCAGCTGCGGAGATAATGGACAAGCGCGACAAGATGGTGACCGACTACAACTTCACAACCGCCTTTTACACAAGCACAACACAGGTCCTCCATTTTCATGGGACTCAATCTAACCTGCAGAAGCACGCCTGGTACTTAGACTACGTGCAGCCCATCAATGTGCTCACTCATGCTCTCTATTCTACCGACTTTGAGCGCACAGTCGGTGATTTCTCCTATGAGATGTTGTTCCTCCTTCAGGGCATTCGCCAGAAGATTGTGTGCACATCACAATTTGCCCGCGCGCAGAAGTATTTCGACGAGATATATGAGAAGCAAAAGGCACACATGGTCCCACGCCCTTATGTTTATCCGATGGATCGGCTGATATGGCAGAAACGTGCAGATGAGAGTGCAGCGGACTCCAGTTAGTGGCATCTTCTGTTTAAAATGCAGAATTTATATAATCAATATGCAGACTTTTTGTCAACAAATGACTCTCTGGACTGCGACATTGAAATGCGACAAAGAATCAAACAGTGGCAGTCAGAGGTAGTATGAATCATGAACTATTTGGGATCTGTTGATATTGGATTTCCAACGATGTGAATTAACTCAGTAAATCAACTCTGAAGAGACAAACAGGCAGGCTGAACAATCTGACCATAAGCTTTCAAGTTTTCAGATCCAAGTTTTGACTAGGTAGTACAAGATGGGACAGTCGTACACATACAAGTCCAAGTCCAAGGCCTATAAGCCCTTATGCTGCTCGTTCTCGTTGTCTCTCAACGCGACGTCCATGTACCCGATCTCGATATGGGGCGGGTGGCGCTCGTCGTCGGGAAGGGACTGGTTGGCAAAGGGGGTGGAAAAGGGCATGCAGATCATAAGGGAGATGCGCGCGGTCGAGGAGGCGCGGGTGACAGAAACAGGCTTTTTAACACCGTTTAATAGCCACCACGCAAAAAAATTATTTGGTGACACACCATCAACGAGTCCCATTCGCGCGGCTTCTCGGGCGGCTCCTGGATGTAGGCATGGTAGAGCACCGGCTTCTGGCCCAGTGCGAGCGGGGAGACGAGGCCCCGAGGCGGGAGAGTGCCCGTCAAGGCGCGGAGACGGCGTTGGGAGACACGGGTGCGGTAACAGATGCAGGCGCCGAGGATGACCACGACAGAAAGGACAATCAGCACAGCATAGCCTAGAGAGTATTACCTAAGGAAGACGCAATGGCAGAGCACGCACGGAAAACGGGGGAGGTCATTAGCGCGGGGACCTGGCTGCTGGACGACGACATGGCGGCGCGTGTGAGAAGCGTAGTATCACGCCCGGAATAGCGGCTGCATCAACTGCGCCGAGAACTTGAAGGACCCGGCTCTGCGATGCCCAAAATGAAATGTGGGTCCAAGGCAGAAGAAGATGGCGGGACTGGACAACGGGCCACTGTGATTGGTAATCAACTCCGAAGGTCGTCTCTGGAATGTCAGCTGCCAGCCCGCTTTCTTTGTCGCTCAGGCTACGTTACTTCAGACAGCATTCGCACCATGGCTACAGTATTATATTCTGAATCAAGAAAAGCTGGAAGACCTCCCTCAACCAGACGGCTGCAAGTAGCTCTCCAGTCGGGAAAATCAAATTTGCGGCTTCAATATTTGAAGCGTGGCTTAGCGTGCACCTGCGCACCGAGCCTTCTTCAAACAGCGCGTCGTGTCTATTCGTGCTAATTCTTGAATCAGAGCTTTTAGTCTTCAAGAATCGCGTGAGCAAGCCTGTTGATACAAAGAGGTGAATCCCTAGTTCTAATCCTTTTGCGCCACGATAGCCTGGCTCGGCAAGCATACGCGTAATGTCATTGCAAAGCGCCAAAGGTTTCTGAGGAGAGCTGTGAAATCTGGCCGACTGAGGCAAGATAACGCAAGATTCGAGCTCCACTGAATCAACATTTGTAGTTTTTGTTGTCAAGAAACATACTAAGCGGAACGGGGGCACCGCCAGTCATCTCCGCCAGGCCCTTCACGCTGAGTCCTTGCGCTCTAGCCTCTGCAAGCGATTCGTAGACGCCGAAGTCTTCGCCAATCCGCGTCATCGCAATCACCAAATGAAGATCGTCACGGTAGCCTGTGGAGTTTCGAGCGATAACTGTAGGCTACGCGCGGCTTCACCAGCTGTGATGACTGTGCACAGCTGGCTGAGGAGGGAATTAAGGGCAAACACTTCGCGTCGTGGACCTCATTCTGAGTCCTCATTGAGAATAATTTATATCTTGGGGGACACGTGCCATCCTGGGCGCCGAACGGAAGAGGACTTGAACACATCATCTAGATCGGCAAAGCATCGATGATTCTCGAGGATTAAGGCCGTGGCGACTAGTGTAGCATCGCCATGTAGCCTGGGAAGCTGCTGAGTGGGGTTTGTCGATAACTTCCACGCAAAACGACGCGTCACGGAGCCAAGTATAATCGTTCAATAGAGGCGAGAACTATTTTGAGAGCGGCGAGCAAGGCACGCGTTGCAGCGGCAATATGGACAGTGAGCATGGGAGAGCAATGCTTCTCACACGATGATCGACATGATAGCCTACGAGTAAAGAATCAGGACCGGATTCGTTAGAGGTTCGTGAAAGTACAAAAAATAAGTACATCATTAAACAGTCGTGAATGGTATCTGGAGTTTTCTGCGAGACACTACGGGTATGTTATGGTGCAAGTAGATTGGTTACCATTCCACAGCCACCAGGAGCGCCAACGCGCCGAAGATCCAGCTTGAAGTGGACACTACTTGTCGAAGTGAAGTAGCGCTGTTAGACTGGCTCGCAGTAGAGCCAGATGCTGTATTGCTCGGGTTCCCATTGTTGGGAGCCAACGTTCTGGTAGAATCGGGTGGGATAATGGAAGAGGAAACGCCAGCACCAAAGAGGGCGCCTTCTAGCCCACAAACTTTGTTTATACCGTTAATGACTGCGTTAGGATTGTCCGTCAGAAGGAATCTCTCTTGATTTGTTTGCTGGAAACTGCCAGTGTATCAGTAAGAAGAACTGAGGGCGAACGATGAACGCGCCAGTCAACGCAAGGGCCTAGAAAGTAACGTCAAATCGCCGAAATAGTGGCAAAGGTATCGCGCACCGAAAGTGGAGTGGAATGGGTCCCGGCAAGCACATATTATTACGTCGGCAAAGGATCCAGGGTTCTGAATAACCTAACAAAAATAATCAACAAAACACGAAAGCCACGATGCAAGTCATACCGTTGTAAAGTTGACCATAACAGGTACTTGCTGCAGGCACAACTTCATGGACTGGTAGTTCTGTCGCGGAGTTTTTTCAGTAATCCGTTCAGGGGTTAAGCCAGTGTATGTGATAGAGCCCGTCTATCCGGATATATGGGGGAGATGCAATTGTTTTACCTGTTGGCACACTCCGCATGATGCCGGAGACGCTGGAAACTGGGGGTCATCCGAATTGCCATCTGTCCGTAGTGAAAAGCGTGCGGCTGGGAGTTCTGGTGCAGGACTTGCACGGACCACGATAGAGGGCAGCGGAGCGAGAACGAAGGGAATAAATACGAGCATGTCGGGTGAGGCGCAGCGGACGACGAGTCTTGACAGTGGACGAGCAGGAGAAGCGGGTCACCCACGTCACGACACTGTCACAACCCATGTGATGGAACGACACTGACCATCTCCTCCACACGACCACACTCTTCGTACTCATGGAGTCATGTAATTTCCAAGTTCCTGACGCGTTTTCAACTCTACTAACATCAAATACAGCCAACCAAATCGATGCCACCTTCTTCTCATCCAGTGTTGGTGCTCTCAACGCGCTTTCCTCGATCCGAAATCACAGCCGTGTTGCACTAAGCAATTTTCTCACCACCACTGTCTCTGAGAAGCATGAACAAAACGCGGGCGAACAATCAGACGACGATACGCCCAGTCGTTGGTCTGAGTCTGACTCTGAATCGTCCGACGATGGAGCACCATCCCCTAAACCCATTCCACGAGCCATCCCCCCTCCTCTTCGTGCGTTTATATGCCATCCAGGCGTTATTTAACTGAGCCGCCTTGTTTAGATTATTGGGACACTCCCAGACGAAAACTCCTCGACCTCCCGCTTGAAATTATCGAGCATATTGCTTACTCCCTTCGCGAGCCGAAATGTTCCCGTCTTATGGACATGGCAGCACTCTACATATCGGACCGTTACCACGACTTCTCCGAAGCGAGACACCCTCTCTCTGCGTTAACCAGGCGCGTTATCTGAGACCGTCCCTCTTAATTTTGCTAAGAATACGCTAGCACTTGTTGGTTTTTGCGGTCTGCACTTGAGCGCGTTCTCTATCGAAACATTCAACTGGACTTGACGGGTTGGAAAGGCCTCAAACACACTGCATGGCCAGCGGCCTCTCTGAAGTTGTTGTTGCAAACCCTCGAAACACGCCCTGAACTTGCATCATACATCCATGTTGCTGCCCTAGATTTTCCTCTCACCGCTGATTCCGTGGTTATTGAGGAGGCATTGGACAAGCTATTGTCAGCCACAACAAACCTCAAATTCCTTTGCCTAGCTCAATGTCCATTGGCCTTTTGGGATCATCGAATCAAACACATCAAGGGATTTGCGACCTCGTTTGCACCTGGGATCCTTCCTTCCATACTCGAAGATCTGTCATCTCTCGAAGAACTACATCTTCGTGACTCGCACGTAATGTCTCTCAATGGCTCTCTCCCCCGTCACAAAATCCGGCGCGCTAGGATGGATAGCAGTCACGAGCATGCTTCAGCTTACTTCTGCCGTTTGTTGACAATCTTTGGAGCGACTTTGCTAGACCTCGATGTTCGCTTCATTGGTGGTTTGCAGCAGCGCTCCCCACTTTTTCTTGCCGACCGCTTTGGTGCCAAAAATTCTCATTTTGGTGGCCAGAATCTGCGTTTCCTCCGCCTGGACAATATCAGTGTTCTCAGTAATGTTTCTTCAACCTACGCTCACATCCTTCGCGGCCTTCCATCCCTTGAAATGCTACATGTCACTCACCATGCCCCACTGGCCCCTTCGGCCTTGGGCATGCTACCTGCGTCGTTGAGGGTGTTTACAACATCCGAGTATTATGGGCTGTGGACGGCGGAGAAAGCAAAAGACGGATTCTTGACTGCGTTCGCCGCATGTATCGAAATGCGGCCCAGGGAGATCGTCCGCGTGGAAGGCTCGAGCGGGGTCAAGACAGGGGAGCCTCAGGGCATCACAATGAAGCTCAGCAAGAAGGAGCGAGAGGCGAAGGAAAAGAGAGACAAGGAACGCGACGCCAAGCTGGACATCGCCCCAGTCATGACAGTCTGTGTAGCAGAAGGCCTCCCTTTCAACGAAGTCGAAGATGCTGCAGGGCCCTTTGTTCGAGTTTTCTGTGCGTTATTCTGTCAGTCAACTGTAACAATGCTGATGCGTCTTGTTAAGTTGGCAAACGGCCAATCGGTCCGGAGTGGGCAGTGCATGTAGTGGACGAAGTTTATGAGAGTGCCAGTGAGAGCGAAGATGACGATGGCGATGATTAAATAATATTGTAACGACCAGTACACGATAGGTTTCAGCTACATATCAGATTATATGGAGGCAGATCCGGGAATCGAATTACAGTTAAAGCTACACTAAGCGAAAGGAGAGAGCATGCGAATAGAGCAAGTTTAACAAACAATGAGAAATCATTCGTGTTGCCATCCGACATGAACCCGAGCCTGAAGAGGTGGTGGGGCGATTCGGCGCAGACGAGCGAGGCCAGTAAGCCGCGGCTGCTCAGTCTTTCCGAGTAGGATATTGAGCAGACTCTGGCGGTGTTCTGGAAACCAAACATGCGGGATGGCGGGAAAAAATGGGGTAGAGGAAGGTGTTGTCGAAACACTCGAGACCGTTTCTGTGACGGAATCAGAGTCCAGCTCTGCCTCAGAGCTCGCGGGAGAGTCCAAGAAATTTTGAACAAAGCTTGGAGTGGTCGGAGGCGTAAAATATACGCTTTCTGTGCGAGCTGCCGTCGACGGCGTTGAAACATGAGAGTCACAAAGTCTTGGTGGCCAAGTCAGAACGTATATTCCAGGCGAAGATATGGTCGGGGGAAGTTGGAGCGTGACTGAATCACAGATTCCGCTTCGTCGGGGGTAATTATTCCTCGGTAAAGGAATAGAGCCGTGGCGTAGCTCAGCCATGAGAGCCTAGTGAAAGTCAGTGCTATGTGCGTTGCTAGGTTACAAGTCGCATACTCTGAGGGAATCGTCGCAAGACATGCGTTTTACTGGCAAGGAAGTCGAACGTGGAACAAAGGTACGATCAGTAGGAATGTTGGCGGAAGGCAGTGGTCAAGTCGTTAGGTCGTAAAGCCACAGAAGTGGGAGATGGAAATTTAGTCGACTTGGAGAGTTTACAAACACTTATATAGTGCACTATCCTTTGTTGATATGTTGCTTGTAATAACGCCGTTTGTTCCCTTGACTCAGTGGCGTTATCCCTTTATCTGCTTTCACGTGTTCTGGTGCGTCGCCTTTGATTATTAGACGCAGCCTTTGTTTGTTGCAGAAACATTGAGTGATTATAGCAAGTCACGGTATTGAAGTGGGAGATCAGTTGAGAGATCTGAAAGAAACTCTGGTAGGATAGAGGGCCGCCACAGAGTCAGGATCACAAGCAATGAGTCCGCTGGGCTTCATGCTGAAAACAAGCATCAAAACTCAGATCATTCGAGTCACAGCCACCGTCACATTCTTCCTGTTTGGACCCAAAATTGTCTACTTTGGCTGTACCCGTTGCCCACAGTGCCTCCACCTTACACTTACATCGCGCTCTTCTGAAAGCGAGAAAAAGAATCGCGGCTGTTTCAAGAACACAAACGCACATCACGTCGCTTTTGAAAGTTTGACTATGTTGACGTTCTTTCAGTTGATATGACAGAAACCGTTGACGGTAATTAGGTCGAAAAGACCAAACTGACTCATTTTAGGGATTTAAGGGAGACGCGACAGCTAGTGGGTCCCAGTGAGTCATTCTCAGTGGTTCGTCCTGCTCAACCCATGCATTGACCTAAGTTCCAGGACTGGGCAGTCGCAATCAAATATTTGCTTCCATCCGTATCACAATTACGACTAGGTGCCTTGCCATCGGCCCATCGTCCCAGCAACTCGTTCAACGGTGGTGTTTGTCCCCGCTTGTCGAGGTGGAGATGCCTGTCACTTTGTCGTTTACCTACTCGACTCGGATAAGGTCTTCCACGCGCAACTGAACAACACGGACCACGGCAGTCAAAGGAAATCAGCGCCGATGTGGACGGGCAAGGTCATGATAGGCTACATTTCTTCGCAAGGTTCGTGGTCAAATCTAAACGATTAATGAATCAGCGCCCGATTGACAGCCCCTGGCAGATTTTTGCGTTGAACTCTCAGCGCTCGTGCTCTTAGACGCACGCCATGGCCTACACAGTAATCTATAATAGCGACAACCGTCTAGCGACTGGTTCTCTCCGTCGCCCACCATGCCTTTCCCCAAAATCTTGAAGAAAATGAGCAGTAAAAAAAGTCTAAGAGGCTCAAGTGAGGGCTCTACAGAAGATCTTCCTCCACTTCCAACAAGCAAGTACAACGACTCCGAAGAATATGCTTACTACAGCTTCCCTCCTCAAAGTGCACGCACTTCGCCATCGGACTCTCCAAGAATGCGGGTGGCTGAACTTGTCACTGATCGTTCTGGTTCCGAATATGGATATTATTCTCAAGATCGCCGACCATCCCTGCCTACTCATGGCGAACGATATGCACCCCCTTCAACTTCGAGAAATGCGTCCTATTCAGGCAGCATAGACCATACACGGGCAAGAACGACTTCGCAATCTGGTCCGGCCAGGCAACCTGGATACTACGCTCAGTATGCCTCCCCGCCTGCCACTGCCGACCCTTATAATATGTCTCGAACATCATCTCGCACGAGCCCACAAACTAGTCCTACACCTTCTCGAACACCGTCCAGTAATTCAGGTGTTCCTATGACTCGCCAACCAGGGGCTTTCGACACCTTCTCGCCAATTTCTCCAGGAAACGCCAGCAGCTCGCCTGTTTCTCCTGTCAGTAGCCAGTCGGATCCGAACATCTACCGTCAGCGTGGCCCTTTCATATCTTCGCCATCTCACTTGCAGCGACTGCATGTCGAGCCCGTTGATGACTACCATGGCTCCTCCCGTCAGCCATCGCCAGCCTTGCAACCCTCGAGAGGTCCTTCCCCTCCACGAGGTCCAATACAGCCACAGCAAACTGGGGTCTATGGGCAGTTGAGCAACGCACCGCCATCAAACCAGAACGGCAATGGGAATGTTTCACGACCACCGCCCCAGGACGAGCTCTCAAGAGAGCTCGCAGATTCGTGGCAAATTGCTACGACAGCTCCTAAACAATCGAATGCCGACAAAGTGCTCCAAACAATTGGTGAGCATTCGTCCTTCAGCACGAGACCAACTGATGCTCTGGAGAAACCGGAATTTCAACTAGTCAAGCAAAACAATCACAGGCAGAGCTTGTCGTTGTCGGAATAAAAACTGGTTTGGACATGGTCGGAGGCATGGATGCGATTGAACAAGGCCTCAACACGTTTATGGAGGGGATGCCCGTGTTAATGAATGCATTGGATGAAATCGCCAAGCTTCATCCGTACGTCTTACATATACTCCACGCAAACTGTGCTCTGATTTTCTTCAGCTTCGTCGGAGGTGTGTTATGTTGGGATTGCGTTCTCCAACTCACGTGATTTTATATCGCAGTCGCTGTAATGGCTTTCAAGGTGGATTTTCCACACCTCTTCCACCGCTGGCTTTCCTGATCCAAAGTGACAGGCAGTATGGGCTCTCGAAATGAAGCGGCGCGAAAACGATAGAAAGATCCTAGCGCTCCACATGGAAATGAAAGACATGATGTCCGTGCTCACACAGTACGCCCTCTATTCCTGTTCTGGAATATAGATAACATTCTAACCGGCTTCAAGATTGCGGAACGTCAAGGACTCGGAAGAGATAGCACCCGATGGCACGACCATCAAGGGTCGTATGCAGGAACTCATGAAAGGCACCGCAGACGACATCAAGAGCTGCGCTAATGTAAGCTCAAAAGATCGACCGTAGTTTGGCTGACCACTTGTAGGCTTGCGACACATACACCAAGAAGAAGCTTGTTGGTTCGTCATTCATTAACTACTTTTTCCTAAAATAGTCCTGATGGTAGGGCTTGTTAATAGTCAAGATCTTGAAGGGTGGGGTTTGGGAACAGAAATTAGGTAAATTGTGTGTTTCTTTCGCTATGCGCCTACTAACTGTTTCCAGTTACTTTCGCGGGAAAGTTCACAAAGCGACGGGGAGAGTTCGAGTTTGCATTAAGCATTCATACTGCTCTCGGCGTTGATGCCGCGAACGAGAGGTTGTCCGCTGTCGACAAAAAGATGGACATGATGCTGCAGATGTTTCAACAGATGATAGCACCAGAACAGAAGGAGATGCTACGGTATGTTTTCCGCGTCATGAAAAGCACTTGAAATGAAGATCCTATGCAGCATGGTGGAGCAAAAGGGAGGAGTCCAGGCTTGTCAAGATAACGACAAGATTCTCAAAGAGTTGTGCGACCTTGAAGCCAAATCTTCTTCTGCCATCAATGGAGCTACAACAACTTCTAAAGCTGGTTCGAAAACCGGTAACGCTGTGGAGGAGCTGAAGGACGACCTGATGGTTGATCCTGACGCGGCGATGGAGAAAAACTCGACCGTTTTTTCGAGAAAGTTCGAGGTCCAAAAGCGTCAAATTGTGTACGTAGACGCTCTGGACACTCTTTCTGCACCCACTGAGATTTTATATGCTCTTAGGGATGAGTTGACCAAAGTCGTGGAGAGGGAGGGCGATCGAGTTATCAGTGCCATCACTGTAAGTATTAATGGACGGCGACGTATTCGATACTTTAACCTTCATCTAGGCAGGACCACACGACAAACTTATCGATCCTGATTTACACAAAATTTGGAAGGAGATGGTATGTTTGTAACTTCAAGACCTCCCCGATGGCCTGACCTCCACGTAGGGTTGGCGTGGCTCAATCAAATCGCGTCACTTTGTCATGGCTCTGCGCGACTATTACCAAGAAAACAGTGACGAGAGCGAGACCAATGCAAACAAAAAAAGGACAGGTGACGACTGGGCGGTCGCATATATAAATGTTTCTCGGTTCGTTGAGGAGTTGATTTTTTTTTCGTGGCTTAGTTCTCTAGCTTGCAACAAATCAGTGAAGCTTTCGATGACGACGCATCTGGTTTTGTAACAACTGCGGAAGCCAACACATACACCACATCGCGGCCCCTTGATTGGTCGTAAGTCAGCTCATCCATATTGACCGTCCTTGGGTTAAGCTGCAATAGATTGAGCCATTGGACCGCATACTGGGCGATTGGCTTTCACCAAGCTATGACGATCTATGCTGTAAAAATACGCGAACTGGTAGCAAAAATGTTTGCTTTGCGAACTCTTGTTCTTCCGGCCAATCGCGCGTCGATCAACTCGTACCTGGAAGAAATATATCAAGGCGTCACAACTCTCGAGTCTGGTCTCCAACCTTGCTATGTCAACGAGGCTTTGCAGGAAAAATTTGCTCTCTATGTCGATGCTGAAGAGGCTCGACTGCGCGGTAACTTGGAAGCCGTTGATTACGACTTGGATGCTGCAAATACCCTCACACTCGTCACCGGCGATGGCCGTATCGAGAGAGTATGTCTCGTTTGTTTTCAGCAATCGATTTGGCTTACGGCTCTGTAGTTCATCATGCCCATGCTCTACCTCCTGTTAAAGCGTGACTTTGAAATTTTCCGTATCTGTCAAAAGAAGGTCATTCACCCCGATGAACTTTGGGATTCAGCCGATACCATCGGCTGGGTGCTTTCGGCCGCGAGAGAGCGAGTCGAGCTGCTTGACTGTAAGCATCCACAGATAAATATCGCTATGATATCTGACACTCTCCAGCTACCTTTCAGAATCAAAAGGTTGACGCCGCACAACAATTCAAGACTTACGCACACGGAATCGTGAGTTGCGGCACACTTCCCATGTATTTGCTCATCCTCTTTAGTTCCAATACTTGCACGACAGCAGTGGACTTTGGGACGCGAAAGTGGTACTATCAACAGAATTCCCCGACTACCCCTACGACGATGCCCTGGAGAATCAAGATGTTGATCTCGAAAAAATCCTGAATTATCCAATAGGCTCGGAGAAACTCGACTTTGCGGCCTACAACGAAGTGCCACCCAGTAGCCCCAAATCCTCCTCCATCCGCCCAAGCTCGGCATTGAAGGCAGTATTGGGCAGTTGGAATGGTTTCACTTACACACCTGCATCCAATATCGTGCCCTCGTCGGGCATGATTTCCATGCATTTTATCGCTGCGAGCAGCCGTCGTTTTACTGCAACCTCTCGATCTAACACCTCAGATTTCACCATCACGGGAGAGTGTGCCCCACAGGGCTCCGATCTCATTAAAATCACATTCAAGCAAACATTTCCGACTCGATTCCCTGCTCAATATTATGCTGGTGTTTGGTCACGTGCGACCCACTCGCTTACGGGAACTTGGGGAGCAGAGGCCGACGCAAAGACTCATGGCGGTGTTTTTATCTTCAAACGCGTCGACCCCGAACATATGTGCTTCTTCCCGGCCTTGTCTGAGCTCCAATCAAACAAGTCGCGCGCCTTGTGGAATTTCGCACTCTCTGCTGTGTTGTATCAGGTCCGCAAACAGACCCTCTCATGGACTTTTTACAAAGAGCGGTCTTACGCCCGGAAACGATTTGTAGACCTCTATATTCGTAATACACGGTTTGGTAAACCGCTTAATCGACAAGAAGAGAAGGAGCTAGGGTTAATCAAGAAGAGCTTTGTGAGTCGGTTTTTATCTAATGTAACTGATTAACTGAACTCTCAAGACCACGGCAGATTCGAGATTTTACCACAGTATTGCTGAGGCGAAGATTCGCGTTACAACCGGACATGAGTAAGTTGTTCTGAGATCTGCACTGGTCAAATTCAATGTTCTATAGCGTCCGTTGTGACTGCTGCACTGGTGTAATTGGTGGCTCACGCATAACGTGCTTGACTTGCCGACTGGAAGACACATTTGACACAGTGAGCAATGCATCATCAATTGTATAAGGCATTGACGGCCTTTAGGTTGACTTTTGCGACACATCAGACTGCATGTCAGCTCAAGTTGTCCCTTCAGGAATGACGGTACACAGATATGCGTTGTTCTCCTCCCCATACTTACTTGTGTCCCCAGCGCACTCATCTTCCGACGCACGATATCCTCAAGTTGCGTCGGGTCGTCCATATTCGGCAGTTTGGCAAGACATACCGGGAGGCAAAGCAGGCGTTGACGAAAGCTCGACAACTCTTCCCATCTCCTGACCAGGATGAAGACGCGGACCTTAGGCATACGGGTGTGACCTCACCACCTCGATGCGCTTCTTGCGGTCTGCACGTTGCTCAGCCATGCTGGTTCTGTGTTCAGTGCGAAGGTTGGTGTTTGTCCGCCCAACACTCACGTCCTTGATTAACTGAGCCATCCAGAACCTAGCTTCATTTGTATAAGCTGCGAGGCCGACCCCAAGAGGAAACTTTCCTTTGGGTACCATAATTCATACTCCCATGACCTTGTTCGGTGCCAACCACTCATCGAGGAGGTCGAAATCACACTCGAAGACCGACTTGCCGACCTCGAAAAGCGCTTCATACAACACGAAGCCAATATGGAGCTCCGACTCACGAATCTGGAGGGGAAAATGGAGAACCGGCTGGTTAACGTCGACCAGCGGCTCGTGCAAGTCGAAAAACTTCTTGAGAGGGTTCTCTTTGCCTTGGAACAACCAGCAAATAGTCATACACATACTGTCAGATAATAATCTCTCCTTCATTCGCCCTCCTTCCAGCATTGACTACATTCATTCATTCGGCATTCGCATATACCTCATTCAAGTTATTGTACTGTACTCTACATCAAAGTTATTATTGACTGACGTGTGCCTTGGGTGAAGTTCACCTGTGATTTTGACGGGTGTCTTTACGTCATCATCTAAAACCTACTTGCTCCCAACTTCATTGTCGTTCCTTCGCCTTGACTCTGTATCTATATGGCGAATTGGTAGGGTCTACTATCGCTCCTCGGCGCAGACCTTTCATAGCATTCACAGGCTAGATCTATTATCGTTTGGCGTTGTAAGCAGTCCCGCAGTCCGTTTCCAGGTGATTTACTTCCGAACAAGACTATCGCCGTTTTCGGGGTCATCATCTATATCGTGCTCTCCATTGTCCAGGGCGTCTCGCAGGGAGTCGAGAACGCCAAAGAGGGGTGCGTCTTGTCTTTCGCCCGGTCGTGTGCTGGTTGAGTGACCGAACGGTTGCAGATTGAAAACGAAAGGAGGTCCGTCGTGTCTCTTGTCGTACTGCTTTCGTCGACATCTCCCGCAGTGCATATAACGGACAAGGGCGTCGCTGTAAAAACCTCCAAGCGATTCGGTAGAGAAGACTATGTAGATGCTACTCAACGGTGCGTGCAGTCAGTTCCGGGCTGGCAGATATGATAACTGAATCACCACATCTAGAGGGATTGTCAACATAGTCAATGCGTCTTCGTTCCAGAAAGGAGGTGCTGCACGGACACCAGATTCCGAGTCGAGCAACCAACTCTCGCCCGATCCGTCCAACGGCGACAAAAAGAAGCGGGGTCTGTTCAAGCGTGCGCTCAGTGGGACGAGTACCAACAGCAAAGACCGAAACTAGGATTTATTACATTGTTAACTACTAATTGGATGGTGTCGACTATAGCTTGTATCCATATTCTTCTCTACCGCAGGTCACAGCTGCAAACAAGTTAGCCAAACTTGAGGAGGAGACAACCAAGACTAACCCTAAACAGGAATTGTAGCTACAGGAACGGAAATTAGGCGGTGCATAACGGCGGTGTAAAGACTCACATCCTGAGGTGTCAATCTGCCCATTGCCTGGTCGTCGGTCGAGAGCGTCGCGTCAACCATTGCTGATTTCTTCTCTTGCAACTGTGGTGCCGTCAGTCGTCGTCGGTGTTAACGGATTGGACAAACAAACCTGAACTATACGACTTTCAATCGAATCTTCTACAACAAGTTTGATGGCCTTGACGGGACGCTTCTGGCCAAGACGGTGAATGCGATCCATCGCCTCTGTCGAAATAGTTAGTAAACAGGGCGTCTTCACCAGATTGTGGACCGACGAAATTCGACGGCTGGATTCCACCAACTGTCCATGAGATAGACTCGCGATGCCTCCGTCAAGTTCAACGCAACGCCTCCAGCTTTGAGGCTGACGAGGAAAACCGTGACCTCGACGTTTTCCACTGATCGACTGTTAGCCAAGCTGAAGATATAGCAAAAAGAACACCCACTGAAGTGTTTGATGGTCGCATCGCGAGCTTGAGGACTCATGGTCCCTTCCAGGCGGCAAATCTGGAGAAGCATTCAATGGTGTGAAGAAAGACTAATCAAACGAGACAAACCTTGAAACCAGCGCCTTGTAGTCTGTACGCAATCAGGTCCAAAAAATTGACAAACTGGCTGAACACGAGGCTCTTTGTTGTTGCGTCTTTCATTCGCAGATTGACCAACTCCTCCAGTAACGCCTCAATCTTGGTTGAGGAGCGCCATTTCTCTAGATTCAGGCGACCGAGGATTCCCTGTCGCGCATCAGGGACATTCTGTTCAAGCTCCAGGGCTGGCGCATCGAGGTCGATGGTGAGTGGTAGATGGCAGACGGGGCAGTCTGGTTGTTGCTCAATTGCCGTGTTGAGATATTGCTTGATGCATTCACGATCGAAAATGTGGCGGCATTTGGACTGGATGGCATCTTCTGCGACGTCGTTGCAAAGACGGCAAACCGTGGCCTCAGGCTCGGTGGGAAGGAAACTGTTTGCATTCTTCTTGCTTCGAATGACTAGATCGGGATGACAAGCCATTTGACGCATGCGAGTAAGCCTGGTATTTCGTTATTTTGCATAGTGAATGGTGGGAACAGGACATACAGGCTGAAGATGTTCGAGTAGTCTCGGGAAAAACTCAGCATCCGAATGGTTTCTGAAAGACAATGTCACCCACTATTGAGGATTGTCCCCTCCTCGAGATATGTATCGAAGCGACGCTTGACATCAGAGAAAAGCGATAGGTAGAGCTCCCTTTCTTCCGGACTGAAGTAATCACGACGGACGATCACAGTTCTAGGTGGCAAGCCAAGATCATCTGCGCGTTGAAGCTGTTAAGATAGTATGTCAGTCATTTTTGCCCATATAACTCAACAATATACCTTGGTACGGCGCAACATCATGCGATCCAATAGAATTTTCAATTTTTTGAAGGCGATTTGACCAGGGCCAGCCATTCCGTATTTTTGGATGGGCGTCAGGATTTCGTTGTTCCAAAAGCAAGTCTGCGAGACTTTGTAAAGGAGAGTCGAGTCAACTAAACGCTAACTCACGTGTTGCATTGGACTGTGCCCACAATCTGGGGTACGTATGTTGATTATTCGTGAATCTCTCAAAGGAAACGCCTACCATCACAGGAACGTTTATCGGAGAATCTCCAATGGAGCGATTTGCAGTCGCATTTCTTACCTGGATGAATGTTTGGCTTAGAAGAGTTAGAATGAGGTGATGACGTTGCTCACAGTAGTAGAAGGAGAAGGGGTCGCCTCCTAAAAATCGAACCAGACTATAAAGTTCTCCGACCCGGTTTTGCAGAGGTGTTCCAGAGAGACACCAACGGCCCCGAGCTTTAAGTTCAAAGGCTGCTTTTGCCGTATTGGTTGACCGCTCTTTGATGTTATGGGCTTCGTCAAGCTGAGCAACATGAATCAAGAGAAGGCAAGGAATTGAGCAAAGTTTCTTACTATAATTCTATTCCATTCGATGCGATGAATGGGTGACTTTTCCTTCACGATCATGCCCTTGCGCTTGAAGCCTTGCTCTTGTTTCCGGAAGCATGACTCCATGACCGCATAGGTTGTCAGTACCTAAAAAGATGGTTGAGAGGTAGCTCAGGACTCGACAGCGAACATGAACGCACCACATCGAATTTTTTCAACTCTTTAGGATCGGATTGTCTTGCAGCGCCATGCCAGACGAGAACCTCAAGACCATGTGTATGTGCTGCAATCTCGTTCTTCCACTGCATGATGGCAACGGTTGGTGCGACCACAAGATTAGGCTTGCCACCGTCCGCAACTAGTAGAGCAATCATTTGGATCGTTTTACCCATGCCCTGGTTGATGTCTTCAGCCTGTAAAGATGATAGACGCTGGTCTATGCTCACCATTTCATCCGCTAGCATTCCACCGGACCAAACACCTTTCTCTTGCTTTTGCATCCAGGAAAGACTCTCGCGTTGGAAGGGAAGCAGTGTAAGCTTCAAGTTGGCAGGCTGCGTAGCAGGCTGGGGCACGAGAATGGGAATTTTTGCTTCGAGATCACCCCAAACATCACGCAGTTCGGGATGGTGCTTGTGAAGAGCTATGGTTGACTTCTCCGCCTGAAACAAGTCAGATCTGGGTCGCCTCGGTAGAGCAACACACACATAAGTTAATTTTCGACCGAGTTTTTTGCGTAGAGCTCGCTCCTCCATAATGTTTACACGGCGCTCTGCTCGTTTTCGAAGTCGTTCTTGTTTTCTCTGCCGGCGCAGTTCGGCCATAGTCATTGACTTGGCTTTCGGCTTGATGGTGACCTTGCTTTTCCCCTTGCCTCTACTGATCGGCGCGTCAGACTCGTATTCTTCAGAAGACATGGCAGACAGTTCGTCGTCGAACTCTTCATCTTGAACCTTTTTGGTCTTCTTTGGCGCCTTCTTTTTGCGAAGCGGGACTTCTTCTTCAGAGTCGCTGGCGTCCAAGACCATTGAAGAATCGTCGACTAAGTTGGCTTTGCCATTCTTGGCTGAGGCAATTCTAGCCTCAGCGGCCCGCGCGCGGAGAATAGCTTGAGGATTGGGGGAGACAAGCTTGGTGGAGTTGACGCTATTCTGAGTTTCTAATGACATTTGGATGGCCGCGTCAATCATAACAGTATCATCGTCGATGTCCTCTTCATCATCCTCATCGACGGCTTGAATAGGGTCGTCGTCGTCAGATCCAATGAATTCAGACCCACTGTCTTCAGATTCAAACAGCTCAGCTTTCTCGTCGTACTCCAGACCGCAATCATAGTCGGAAGCAGGCGCAGACTCGACAGCTTTGCCTTTTCCCTTGTTTTTGGTTGGTGACTGAGGAATCACATCATCAAAATGCCCCCCTGTGGGTGTGAAAACGCAAACCTCGAGAAAAGCAATCTCGTCGTCAGAGCTGGGGGAAGAGTCTTGGGCCCTGGCCTTTCCTTTACCCTTGGCCGCGGTGCGAATAGGTTTTACGGGCTAAAAGGAATGAGCGTTGCCACTCTGCCGTATGAGAAATGATCATGTACCATGGTTTTCGCACGAGACGGTCGTACAATCTCAACAAAAACTTGCTTCGCTGGAGCACGTCTCTTGCGAGAAGGTTGCTCCGGTTCGTCCTGCTGAAGAGGGCGCTTTTTAGTCAGCAAAATGGGTAGCTCATCGTCTGATGTTGGGGGTGTCTCATGGGAGGAAATGGTGCTAAAAGCAGGCGAAGGATTGGCGGTGGAGTTGGTGGTGGTGGCGGGGGATTGCTGGGCCGCACTGAGTCGAGCAGACTGGCGGGTAAGGCGGGCCATGTGGAGAACAAGAGCAGGGTGAAATCCAATTAGTGACGCGGTCGTGACGCTTCACGTGCGGGTGATGGAACGCGTAACACTCTTCGAGTCATTGTGGGTCGAGATTGTGTATAAACTCAGACTTCTCTGTGGCTCTCTAATGCATCAGCGGTTCAAAAAGCCCAAGGCTGCCACAAAAAGTCAAAGTAGATCAACGATTCTGCTTCGTCACGATGTATCCTGGACCACCAGTCTGGACCGCTGGCAAATTTATTGAACGAGCACGATGTTTTCGGTTTGATCTTGTGGACCTTTGAGTCTGACCACAACATAACATGACTGGTCGCTCGAACCTCATGAAGGCTTGCTCAGCCTTTTTCTGGTGGGGACCAGTCACTCCCGTCACATCACACCTGTCAACCATTCACCACGATGGCCCCAGAGTCCTCCGAAGTTGAACTTATGAAGGCGGTAGCCGTCGTCGCCCCCAAAAAGCAACGAAAACTCCGTCCTGCTCGCAAACAAGTCAAGTTTGGAGACGTCGTCAAGATCGACACCCCACAGACTGGTAAAGAATACAGTGAGTTGACGTCTACTATTCCCAAAGACCTCGTTAACTCTCTTGTAGATATATGGTACAACAAATGGGCAGGTGGAGACAGGGAGGATAACTACTCCAAGTGCGTATTTTTTCTTTCTTTTGTTATCTCATTGACCCTCGCACTCCAGTAAAGTCAAATCTCAGACTCGGTGCAATCTCAAGCGCGACTCTGGATTAACGCGTGCGAACGTGACTGGCATGAAATATACATGCCTGTACTTCGCGCGAGGTTGCTGTCCATATGGCTGGGAATGCGATTACCTTCATGCGCTACCAGACCCAGACGACCAGCTTCCCGACACCTCAAAAGACTGCTTTGCACGGGAAAAGTTTGCTGACTACCGTGACGATATGGGTGGTGTAGGGAGCTTCAACCGGCAGAACCGGACCCTCTACGTCGGGAGAATCAAAGAGACGGGAGTCGGTCTAGAAACAGAAGAGGTTGTGAGGAGGCATTTCAAAGAGTGGGGTCAGATTGCACGAGGTGCGCTTGCAGCCATCTCACCTTACTCAGCGCTAACGTTCTTCAGACGACTCCGAAACAGGCTGGGCAGTAAAAGTTCTTCAATACCGGAGTGTCGCTTTCGTGACCTACGTGTCGGAAATTCATGCTCAATTTGCGAAAGAGGCAATGGCTTGTCAGTCGCTCGACAATGACGAGATTCTCAATGTCCGCTGGGCGACTGAAGACCCAAATCCTGTTCAGAAAGTGGCTGAAAAGCGGCGTCTGGAGGAGGAAGGTCAGGAGGCCATCAAGAGTCGAGTTGACCCTAGAATTATCGATGCCATGAGGACGATACGGGCACTGGAAGACGGTGACGAGCTTGATGAGGATGGAAATTTCATGGACCAGGAGGCAGACGGACAAGAGCAAGAGCACGAGTCATCCCAGCCCGATGCCAAACGACGGCGTTTGGAGGCCCCTCCACCGCCAATCCAAGACAACCAGCCAATGGGTCTACTTAGCGCCGATACGCTTGAAGGCTTGAAGTACTTTGCGGAGATTCAAAAACGAAATGGTGTTACAGTCCCAACCAAAGCAGTCACTCCTATGGTAACACCACTAGCAGGGGGTCTTGGATTGGGGGATTATGGGAGTGACGAGGAATAATTTGTTGTATGTATTGTCCACGTAAGCATTTAGTCTACAACATGGTACATGTCCTCATCGCTGGGAAACTGCACTTTATGTCTGAACGAAGTATGAGCATACCAATTGATGGTATAATCTGGCCTTACTTTTCCTTCAAATGACACCAGAGAGCGTTTAGACCCAGTCGCTTGGGATGCTTCTTGGTGAATCTAGGGCCTCGAACAATCTCTTCGACCTCATTGACCTCAGCGTCTTCCTCTGATTCTACCGTAGAAGATTGCAAGCCAGCGCTCGACACTGGCCTCCTTTCCTGCTCGCAATGTCGACAGCCAAATATCCAAGTCGCTTTCGCTTTCTTAACCTTGTTATCATCTGTCCCACCGAGAAGATATCGTGCAAGCCCTTGTTCGAGAGGTTTCACAAGTATTGCATCTGCCGTCTTTGCTTCCAGGACCTCTAAATCCATCACCTGGTGTCTATGCGAGTGTCCGACCTGGAATGTGTCATTAGATGTGCCTCAATTCGTCTGTGTTAGAGAGTCATACTAAGTTCGAGGGTCGCATTACGATGGCCGTCGGACAGGAGAGACAAGCTATCCGTGCGCCAATAGCATCCCACTTTCCCAAGGAGTCCTTATTCGCGGGATCGATATCGCAGAGTTTCAGGACCTTTGTTATCGCATTGATAGCCTTATTCTGATCAGACTGGAAACATCGACAAGGAAAAAATGATCAAACCTGGTCGTCCTTGACAAAGTTGCTGGCCTTCCAGAGGGACTCTTTCCTCGGTTGACGCTTGGGCTCCCGCGAGCCACGACATTCATGTCGGCAAACACCAATAAAATCCATACATTCATCCCACGTATATGGCCGAGCAACCTTTCCGCATCGCGTGCATGACCAACGGGCAGTTAAACGCTGGACGGGATGCAATGTATTTGATTTGGCGGTCTTCCACTCAACGGGGAAACCCAAAGTCGCGCCAAGATCCTGCTCTGCTGCAGCCCTCCATCTGTCCAACTCCGAATCGAGCATTTTGCTAACTATGCTTTCTGTGTCTTTGAGTTTGCGGGACGCGATTAAGGTTTTGCGTGAGGGTCTAGTTTTACGTGCGGCCGCGGACGATGTATCCGAATGAAGAAGTTGGAGGATCGGCATTGTTCGGAATTCCGGTAACGCCGGAATTGGGGTTGGGGGTACTTGAGATCGTGATTCGGTGAGGAGTTTGCTGTAGCGCTGCTCTACCTGTGCGCGTTGTGAGATGATTGCGGCTTCCTTTGCTCGGCGTTCCTGTCGATCATTGTAAGCCAGCAGTTCTGCTTCGACAATGTCGGCCATATTGGTGAAGTCTAGTATATTTGAGCCAAGAAAAAAAGTACATCGAATCTTCATGCTGACCTTGTCGAACTATCCTCTGCAGTGTATTGGTCTTATGTAAGCGGAAAGAATTATAGGTTATGGAACCGTGGATAAGATTATTGTAGTCGTAGCCTCAATTGCAATGAGTATACCCGATCGAGCTTTGAATCGTCCTCACCGTTTTCTGTCGCGAGTGTCTGTCCACTGTCGAACGTCTTAGCACGCGTTCTTGAACTCGTAGCAAGGACTTACAGTGCTTCGTTTGCTTTCTGGACCTCTTTTGCCAGCTTCATTCTTTGACCTTTCCAGAGATACACCTCGACAAAGAATTTCATCCTCCCCTCGTGACGGCCCTTCTCCAGAGCGTGGCGCTGTCGGACCTTGTCTGCTGTATAATGGGCAAATTCGGACAGGGTAGCAGTCATATGAGCTGTAAGATAAACTTTGTTTCCCGCAGGCCATGGTTGCTGCGCTTGAACCTGAGTATTGAGACCCCAGATTCGAGATGGAAAATGAAAGCATGCAGTTGACTCGGCAAGCGGAAGCCATTCCAGTGCATGTCGTTGGTGCTGGTTAAGGGTGGCCACATTCTCTACGAGAGAAACGTTCGACGAGCTCCACTTCTGAAGGCATTCAGGGCGGCTGCAGAATCGGATGCGAAGCGAGAAGGATGAAAACATGTTGTGTGTAACTCGAGCGCAGTTCTATTTTGAATTAGTTCGTACGGGAATGATATTTTAACGCGATACAAACAGCGCAGGGACCCATATCAAACAGCATGGCTGCAAAAGCGGGTTCGGACAGTCCAGCTCTCATCGGATCAGGGAGAGGGGCAGGGTGACTAGTTTCTCGAGCTTTGCGCCATACAGAAACATTTTCTGGGCGTAATAGTGTGTTGCAGAGGAACTTGCACGTGCGCGCCACAGCAAGGACATCTTTGGTGGACTGAGTGAACACCAGGATCATGGCAACGAGCTCAAAGGGCAAGTTAACGAATACTGGCTTAAAGTTGGTGACATCGTTCTTCTCGGTGCTTGTACGCCTTCGTTTTGTGGGCGGTCGATTTCGGGAAACTGGAGTGTCCATCGAGGTGGATGGTGGATGTTCAAGACAAGGAGTGTGACGATACTAAATTGGGACTGGTGCAAGCCTGCGTCCTACTTCCTTCTACTCCCAACAAATCATCGATACACCCTCTTCCCTAACTATAGTTCACTTGTCATGCCGCAAGAGTGCGCGACCACTCACTGCCAGTGAACCGATTCAGTAAAACTGACGAGTTATTCCAGCCGCGTGGCTTTGGGCAAGGAGGTTTTTCAACACAAATGCTCTTCCATTATTCGCAGGTCCGTCGTTCGCCATTGGCGTCGATAAGCTCCTAATATCACTCAGGATCCCTCTCCAGTCGTTCAATCCGGGCACTCACTCAACTTGAGTCAAGATGTGCCGCCACAATGAGAATACATGCTGGCTGATGGTAGATATGCATGGCCCTTTTTCTGCTGACCTTTCTCTACCCCCAGCACTCGAAGGTACTTGTGTAAGATGTGTAGTCAGAGAGCGATAAAATGTCGGAGAGCGGACGTTTTCGGGAGTTTTTATATGGTACGCCCGATGATGCTTTTGTGGTTTCGAACCACCTCACTCCAGCTCCAGTCTAGGTTTTTGTGTATACCCATAGTCCTGAATTCATTCCGTCCCCCTACCGCGCACGGTCCTCTTGAAGTCATCCATCAATGTCGTCATATGACTTGCCAGATCTGGTGACCCTCGGCAAAATCCGACTAGACTTTGGCCCAAACGGGTCGTCGTCGCCGCCTTTCCCGCCATCCTCCGTTAGGTGCAGTGCACCGACTTTGCCACTCCCAAAACCACGCCTTTCTATCCTTTTACGACCGCTGGCGTATGGCCCCACGAGCAAACCCTCCACCCAAGAAAAATCGTGCGAGGTTCGGTGTCAAGTTTTCTCTGAAAATCATCAAAGGCGACCTCCCCCCCGATACTGAGTACCTCGATGACGACTTTGACGAAAACTTGTCCACCCTTGCGGTTGCAGATGTGGACATTAATGAGGGCCATGTACGTCTCTTCTCCAACCAATCACAGCTTGCCATGTCAGGTGGCAGTGCGTTCCGCGGTCCGCTTATATAATCATCCTTTTAGGAACACCACCTGCAAGCAGCACTCGCCACAACTGCTGTATTCATCCCCACACCCTGCTCGCTCTCTTCCGTCGATAATTACGACCAGCTCTATGGGGCGACGCAATGGAAAGACCCTATCACCTATCTTCAGTCCAACCAGACCGTTGAAGAGGCGTGTGCCAATGCCCTGGTCGACCATGACTACACCTATTACATGGATGAATTTGATAAGCAGTGGCTTGACAAGAACAACAAGGATGCTCGAGGGGAGGGCACCAGCTCTAGTGCCCGAAGTTCTAGGAAAAACAAGGAGAAAGAATCTGACATGTGCACGCCAGCCGAAATCTCAGAGGACGAATTCGAAGTCGTGATGTCTCTCATGGAGAAATACGTGGATCAAAAGATTCTTCGAGGAGACGCCCCCGACTTCGAATTCTTCACTGGCTTTTTCTTGGAGCCTTTGTCTCCCTCTCTGTTTGCGTCGTTTTCAGTGCCATCGTGGATCCCACCGCCTGCCCAGCTTGTTCGTATTGCTCGCACTATATATCCGCACTGGAGACATCGGAGAACTCTCGTTTCTGGGCGGAGAATACAGCCTGCTCTCAATGTGCGTTTTCGGTCGTTGTCCTCGTCTATGGCACTCATGATAACACAGTTTGACGAGAGTGATTTCCCAAATGAGTCGTACATTTGTTTTCGCCGTCGCGACAACAAACCTGTGCGCAAAACTCGAGGGGGATTGGTTGTCAATCACGCAGAAAAGCTGGCCAATCTCCAGCACAACCTCAGTCAGGTCCTCGACATTGCCAACTCGGTCCTTCAAAGGGAAAATATCAAACAATCTGCTGCTAGCGAATCCCAAGCTTTGTGGAATGCACGTCAACCGATGGCGGATTTCTTACGACAATTCCCTGCAATGATGACTAAGGCAGATGAAGACCGTCTCACAGAAAAGCCGAAGAAGATCAAACCCGCAAAATCCTCCTTGTATGGACTACTTCTATCGTCAAGTTTTCTATTCTGACCGTCCTTGTCAGGCTTCCCAAGGTCAAGGTACTCCCACCGACTCAATCAAGTTCGCCTGCCCAGGCTCCAGCTCCGCCAGCGGTTCAACCTTCTGAACGTCATGCCGAGGTGCAACAAGATATTGCTCGGCGGATGCTGCAAGAGACAGAAAACTTGAAGAGACGTGGTTACTTGGACTTGACTGATGTAAGTCAAGCAAACGAACGCTGCAAGCAGAATAGTTGATATCATTCCAGGACCCTGTGCAATCTGCATATTTGCCACGCCCCGAGAAGTTGTGGGTTGACGTTGCCTCCAAGACATCACCACCCCCAGAACTCGCGACAAGAATAGCGCGGCCTCTTCGTCTCCGAGTTGGACGTGGTGGACGGCAATTCATCGACCGACGGAGCAGTTCTCATCCATACCTTTCACCTCTGCGCAATCATCGTTCTCACGCCGACAGTGATGATTCTTTGGATTTCGACGAAGAAGCGACACGGAGGCTACGTGCACAATGGAGGTTCGACACTGATAGTTCTTGGACTGGTGGGCCTTCAGAAGAAGATGCCCGTGAACTTGTTGACGAATTTGATGACACGTTAGTCTCACTTATGCCCCAACCTGGCTCAATATTAACTGTACTAGTTATATCGTTCATCGTCTTCAGTGGTCGGTGGAAAGCCGTAAAGCGGAGCCTTCGCAGATTTCCGATCTGTCTCTCGTCTCCGACGCAAGTCTTACCGTGCAAACCCCCGATGGCCGATCGCGCAAGGCCCTACCATTCTTGACTAACGCAATCCATCTCGCAACTGTCCAAAACTATCCTGACGTCCACTCGTACCTGATTGCGGCAGGAGTCGCGAAAGCGAACCCTCAGCCAACCGCTAGTGCCCAGGCTCAAGCGATGGCTCACGCTCGAGCAGTTGCGCAGCAGAGACAGGACAGTTCCGCCCTCAGTCACCAAACTCCGACTACCTCCGCTGCACCCATCCCTGCCTCCGTATCTTCCACAATATCAACCCCAATCTCTGCTCGCCCACGGACCTTACGTGATGCACCACTTCCTCATCCTCTGCCAAATGGAACTGGGAACTCCAATGCTGGAGGACAAGCTCACAATGTTGTGAAATCGAGCATACCGTTGGGCAACGCGTCACATAATCAAAATCAAATGCCTCCACCTCTCGCCCCAACTCAGATGACGAATGGACGGGCGATCTATGTGCCATCGCTCGCTGCAGCCAATGCCAGCTTCAAGGTGCCTGTAATGCAGCGTGCCACGACGACGTCGAGCCCAGTACCCATTCGGTCGGTTGCCGTGAACGGCGATTCGAAGTAGTTGGGGAGACAGATTCGACAAGGCCTTTTCGCATAGAACTTGACATAATGTGTATATCAGCTGTAGGAATAATGAAGAAAACAAATGACAGAGTTTATCTTTGGGACTAATTCTCAGTAACCGTTTGTAAGGTAGGTGGTACTTAGTTTTTCCAAATATGTGTTGCATTACTCAAAGCACTTATCCCAATCTCCTTCGCCATGATTGCGCGAATACATTTGGCTCTCCAGAAATGCATCGAATTCACATAAACCGTGTAATGGCCCCGAAGTTGGGGCTCCACAGAATTCCAGCGGTTGCTGAACCTCGTTCACTAGTACCCGGATGAACTTCTTGGTCCTCTTCTTTTTGTGTTTTTTGAGATCCTCTGTGGGATCTGCGCTGCTGGCCTGAGGTTGACACTCGAGTTTTTCGACAACCATACGAGAGCTGAAGGTCATGATCCTGCTCGTGCGCCAATCCCGCATTGAGTCTGGCCCGCCTCTGGGCCGTGTAGGGAAAGACGGGGTTGGGAACAATCCGATGGCATTGAACACCGCGATAAGCGGCGCATCATGCGTGAAGTCGGCATAAATGGTGCGATCGAGAGGGAATGTTGCATAATGGGAGTCTAGGGTCGTGTTGGTGCAAGTCTGGTCGGAGACTGGAGAACGGGTAAGGCGCGCGAGAAGCTCATTTACATAGCCAACTCCTTGGACCTTTCCGAGACGTCCTCCGTATCTATTAGTTTGGGGTTGAGCATGGCAATGACGTGATATAAGTGTGCTTACCCAGTGCTGTAATAACGGTCTACATCTGACGAGTAGGCAAAGCTCTCGAACTCCCTGGACTCGAAGAGATCACAGAAAGGACTGTATGGAAGGGCCTTGCCAGATTCGAAGTCCTCTGGGACTACAGAGGCAACAGTATGGAAAGCACAAAGCATCATCAGCCCATGAATGTCCTCGTGGGTCAAGCTCGCGCCAGGTGCCCACGAGTTGAGCCGGCTAGTGATTGGGGGCGCATACACCTCGAGCCACTCGCGCATTTCTTTGTGCGAGGACGCTGCATTTGGACAATTGTTATCTTGGAGGGTATCATTTCCCTTCCCGTAATTTTTAGAGAACGAAGGTGCGAAGATAAAAACCCACTGCTTCTGAAATGATGACAGATAACCTGGGAGTGTGTTTCTGCTCGCTGGCGGCAGCAAATCCTAATAAGACTTTTAGCTCCAGTGATAACATGATAAAACTGCTAGTACGCACCAGCAGTCCAATTCAAGGCGCTATCCACGACCCTGCTCATGCCCGATGCTCTAATGAAGGGGAGGTCATCTTCGGAAAGCAAGTGCTTGTAACGATGGAAAGCCGTCGCTCCGGATTGTTGTGACTGCAAAGCTCCAAGGGGAACGAGTAAATTCTCGCCAAGAGGGTAGTGGAAAGTGTGAAGGAAGTCAAGTCGTTCATCTGTGTATTCATCGACACCGAGCAGCTTGGTCACACCTGAGAGGATGTCTTCTGTTTGACTTTCGGACGGTAGTCGGGCGCCGTGTCGATGAAGCTGACTCTGAGTCAGACGGGAGATATGTGAGACGCAAAGGAGTACTGACGATGTTGACCTTGACGGTCGTTAAGTTGTAAGAACACTGCAGAGCCTTGGACAACGCACTTGATCAATATCACAACCCTCTGGAATTGGGGGATAATCCTCTGTAGCGTGGAAGGGCGAGTAGACTCCCCATGAATGCTCGATAGCGAACCTGGAGAGGTCGTGTGCCGGAGACAAGAGGGGAATTTGAGGTCGTAAAAAGGGGATGAACGTCGGGAGGACCGCCCATAATTCAGTTAACGCTCTGAACATTGGTCTGGCAGCTCGTTAGAAATTGGAAGTGGGCCGTTCCAACGAGGATGTCGGCAGGTATTTTTATCTTTGACGGACGGCGTGATCATTTAACTCGGTTCCGGAGATGCGATTGGCTCTTGTTTTCGAGGTACCTTTCTATGATTAAGAGACGTGTAACCAGCCTCCAACATGGTTGGACTTGGACTTGAAGTTGAAGTTGGAGATACGTGGGCAATTCATCATGTGATTTCATAGGTTTCTTCTCCTTTCTCTCATCCAAATAATTTATTTTCATTTGCTCAGGTTCACAAAGTCGACGTTGGACACGACGTGTCTGAAACGTGGGACCTCGAACTTCCAAGAGAGATTTTTGTCAAATGGCCATTATTGTGCAACTCGAATGAAGGTTGAAAGTCCGCCTTACTCGATCACCTGCTGTTGTCGTTGCTTGGTTCGCTCAGTTCTAAGTATCTAGAGCGTTTAGGACAACGAACCAAGAAACATAACAACAACATGGATTCAGAGCGGGATACCGCACCAATAACAACGCGTTCATCTTAAGAACTCTGATTGAAAAGTCAGAGGCATCGGGGGAGACACTCTATGTGGCATTCGTGGATATTTCTAATGCATTTGCCTCAGTTAACCGCGATCAACTGTGGGTCGTCATGAAGGAGTTGGGTTTAACAGGAAGGTATTTTGACTTTGTGCGCATGATGTACGACAAAATGGAAATTCGTGTGGCATCAGCTGGCAGAGTATCAGAAGGTTGGTACTCAGGATGTGGAGTTTTAATGGGCGACCCACCTTCGCCGACGCTATGGAATATCTTCCTGTCAACATTCAAGGTGGAAGTGGACCCAGATGATGTGTCTCTGGCAGGAATGTTTTTGGCTTACTTGGCACAGGCAGATGACATGGTATTGGTATCACGAACATGGAAAGGTCTGCAACGACAACTAAAACAATTGGAGAAATGGTGTAAACAGATGTTTCTGACAGCAAATGGAACCAAGTCAGCAGCTATGGCATTCGGTAGGATGCCAACGAACCTTTCGTCACGACCAGTACAATGTTTGTTGTTTGGCGGCGCTCAAATTCCATGGGTGACAGAGCACCAATTTGTTGGTATCACCTTTGCAACCGGTGTACGAGACATCTTCCGTAGGCATTATGAGAAGAAAGCGGTGGCTGCTCGGAAATCTTACTGGAGTGGAATCGTGGGTTGCGAACATTTTGTGGGTCGTGGTCGTTTACCGCCGACAGTCGCTTGTGACTTGTATTTCGCGCTGGTCGATTGCCATTTAACGTATGGATGTGACGTGGTATTGGACGTGGACCCAGTATCCTTTGAAAACCTGCAGGATGTGAACTTGATGGTTTTGCGAGGAATCTTAGGAGTGGACACTCACTCAAGCTGGCCACCATTGTTTACGGAAACAGGCATCTTTCCATTGTCAGTGCGCAGAGCTGAGTTGGCATTGCGGTACTTGAAATACTTGCTGGGCCTTACACCAGACCATCTAGCCCATAAGGCGTTGGTGGAAGCTGATCGGTTGAGAAATAATGGATGGTCGTCGTGGATGGGTGATCTGGCGTCAGTGTTGCGGTCCTTCCCTTGGCCAATGCCTCACCTGAGGTCGTTGAAGAATTTGTCCGAAGACACATGTACAGAGCTCATTGGCGAACTGCGAGCAGGCTGTAAGCGCTTCTTGACAGACCAGCTACAATGTCGGGTGTCTCTATACTTGCTGCATCATCGTCTTGAGCCTTCCGAAGAAGGTCCTGCGCGTTTTATGCACTTGACGCGCCGCCACTATCTTCATCGAGTTACAGTGCCCGACCATCGACAGGCGTTGATTGATTTGCTGGTGGGACGCTACGGATTTCGAGGATTACATTCGAGTGACTCTACGGTCCCTTTGGAACGACGTATGTGCCGTCGTTGTAGAGGTTTCGTAGAGACACCGGTGCACGTTTTCTTGTGTTGTGTGGATGATTGTGCGAGTGCTGAAAGAGCGGTGCTGCGTTTCGCTTTGAGCGAGCGTTGTCGATTCAACCTGCCGGCGACTTGCGCAGGCTTGCCTGAAGAGGAGGGTTTACGAATCTTGAGGTCACTGATCTTCGACTGGGATCGTGTGATTCCGACAGCGCGTTGCATATATAAAGTGGCGAAGAACTGGAAATGGTTTGGGTTGACAAAATTGGAGTTGGAAGAGAGATTGCCAGGAGTGAACGGAAATGACTGATATAATTAAGTACATTCTTATAATTCTTTATTTGTTAGAGGCTCGGCTTTTGGTCGTTGGGTAGAGGTTTCCCCTTAGCGGGTGACAGGTCGCCTGCGATTGACTGTCGAGTCCGGTAGCTTTCTTGCGGGGAAGCAATATTACTGTGTAACAACAACAACAACGATATTGACTATATCCTTCACTTGGCTTGCAGTGCTTTGTAGTAATAATGACAATAAGTAACAGCTGTGCATTTCAAACGCTTGTAAGTAGAGGTAAGATGCCCAGCCAATTTGATCTTTATCGTTTACTGAACGCCAAAACTCGTTTTTAGAGGCAAGCTTTGGTCTAGTGTACGAACAAACGGAGTGAGAAACCTTCAAAAAATCCAAAAATCTCTCCTAAGTAGTTGTGCGGCAGGAGTGTTGTCGCAGCTCAGCAAGCCTGACTCGGATCATGATCGGGAAACTAATGGGCGCGAATCACCCACCAGTATAAAACCCCGTTCTCTTTCGCCCTTCATCGTGCCTTGTCCGGATTGTGTTTCTTCTCCCAAACCTCGCCCAACGATGCCAAGCCTCGTTGTGCTTTCGTTGCTGCCCTTATTTCTTTTTTCCCCCTCGTCCCATGCCGTCACGATTCGCATTGCACGTCCTCAGAGTAGCAGAGGCGGAAGGGCCAACGTCCGTCTGCATTCACCCCATAACGTAGATGGGAGCAATTTGATCAACAAGAATAACGAGCGGGTGCGCATCCTTAACAGCCCTATGCTTTCTTCCGTTGACTCGTCCAGTATACCGCAAACATTACTATGAGCGGACGAGGCAAGTTGCGCCAAGTCTCGCCTTGTTCAAGACTTATCTTGCACAGTTGTCAACGTTGCGCTCGATACCGGAAGCACCGACCTTTGGTTCATTCACCCTTCTCTTGATGTCTATGTGTCTGAAGAACGCTCAGGGTCAAACCCCCAGAAGGCCTTCCGACGTTTAACAACACTGGTCTAAATGCAACCCTACGCTATGGAGACGGTACAGACTTTGTTACTGGGGATATTGGTGTGGGTGAATTCAAGTTGGGCTCGTATACCGTTCCGCTTCAAGGTATGCAATCTCATTGCCCGATATTCGTTGAACGACAAAATGGCAGCCTTCCTCAACGTCAAGATTGCTGCTCCGGCGGAGGACGCTGATTTTGCTGATGGTATTTTCGGGCTCATGGGTCTTGGCTTCAACACCCCTGGCAGCTCTGGAATCAATGATGCTGTTCAACAAGCCTTCGGTCCCACTCAAAATTGGGGCCAGTCGGTGCTCCAGAACATCTTCGACCAGACGCCCAACGGCGACAACTTCATTGGAATTGCTCTCTCTCGGACCGGAGACCAGGAAGAGACAGCGGATGCGTCGCTGGCCATCTCTGAATATCACTCCTCTCACACTGCTGTTGCCCAAGCACCAAAACTCCCCCAAAACCCTGTGGGATCTGGTGCCTGGACAGTCACCCTCGATGGACTTAGTATCAATGGCAAGAAGATCAACTGGCCTTCAACGATGCGGCAAGCACCAGCAGGGAAGAACATTGTTCACCTTGACACTGGAACCACGAATATCATGATGTGCGTATGATTAGAATGATCTCTAAACAAGACCTTATTCTGCGACTAGGCCCAAGCAACAAGTAACTCAGATCTACTCTGCTATTCCTGGCGCTGTCCTCTCCCCCAACAGTTACATCCCCATGACCAAGTTCTCAACGAGCTTTGACGTATGGGTTGTCCCGTGTAACGCTACACCAAGCGTGGTGGCCTCCTTCGGGGGCCAAGACTTTGCAATTCATCCGCTCGATGTCTCGGACATGGAAATTGTCACGACTCCCGACGGAACGACCAACTACACTGTCTGTGTTGGCACCTTCACCGATGTTGGAGGTATCGTAGAAGGCTCTTCCGACGCACTCTTTGGAGACTCTTTCCTGCGCAATGGTATGTCATCTACATTGTTCTCGCATCTCATCCTAAATTTCCTGCTTAGTATACTCCGTATTTGACTTCGGAACTGGGGGAGGCAAAAACGAGACGGCTTTCGTGCAGCTCCTCTCGCTGACTGACCCCGCCAAGTCACCGCAGGACCTCGTTAATGTCCGTATGCAAGCAATGAAGAACATGCCGCCAGAAATTCCGGCCATTGACCTTGTCAGAATCTTCAATGGCACTCTCAAACCTTATGGTGGTGCCCCTAGTACCGGAAGGTCAGGAAGCGGAGGAGGAAGTGGAGGAAGCGGGGGTGGCAGTGGCGGCAGTGGCGGTCGCTCATCTTCCGGTGCTGTCATCCTGACCTCTTCGCTTTCGTTGTTGATTCTATCAACACTTCCCCTTCTCGCTTTCTGGTAAGTTGGCGTTGCTCTCGAATGGACCCTGCTATCGTGTATGTTACCAATGCGTTGTTTAATTATTGTCATTCTCGGGAGTAGAGTAGCATTCGGTTGTAATTGGGTAGAAACCTGACAACACGCTCGCTTCATACTATTATTTCGAGACTATTACTGGAAACTCCAAGTCCCATTGCTTGTTGGCGATCTCGGCGACGACGAAGGCAGCAAAGCCGGCGCGATGCAAGGTGACATGATTGTTCGTCTTTCCGTCGCCGATGTAGCCGGCGATGACCTCTCTGGACTCCTTATTGCCTAGAATGGGAACGCGGAACACGGTATAGTGCTCGAGGCTGGAGGAACGAATGACGTCTGCGATGGCGCGAATGTCTTTGTATGCGTTACGCATCGAGATTGAGACAGTCGTCACCATTCCATAGAACACCGCGTTGAAATGGTCAGCCTTGTCTTCCATCGAGATAGTGCCCAGAGCAAGGAGACGGTTGACGCCGCGCTGCTTCATGAGCTTTATGAGGCCCTCGTATGCATGCGCTAGCGGTGTGCCTTCTTGGACGTCAGGATTAGGAATGAGATAGAAAGCAGCCAGACCTGACGGGTGGTCGAATTGTCGAGGGCCGAGTGCAGACAGAACAATCTCCACACCCTCCAGAGCCTCACCCAGCGCCTTCTCGTCTTCCAAAGTGCCTGAAAGTGACCACAGCTCGAGAGACCGCTCACAAACGGCGCATAAAAAGTCAGTCACCCTTCAACAGCGTAACATTTGGATGCGCAGGAATATCTCCAGGTAATTTTTCTGGGGAGCGGACATATCTTCCAGAGTATTAATTGATACACATGGTTGAAAAAGAGACACGTCGAAATACATGACGACAGGCGATTCGGGGTAAACAGCCAAGAGTTCGCGAACAAGCAGCACGCCGCTGGGTCCAGTCGCACCAAGAACGAGAAATTTCATGTTGGTAACAGCAGCGCTACCGTTGCTCGCAGATGGTGGTAAGAAACAAGATTATTTTGGGAGTTGAAGTCCACACGGTCACGTGCTCTAATTATGGCTGGTACAAACGCGAATAATGAAGTCGCTAGACGCGAACCAGACCCAAATTGCCTTGTTGCATTCTCACACAAAACCCACCCATAATCTCCGTCGCGAAATTTGTGTCGGCATCATACATGGTATGGATTGCCTTGCGAGCGTTGACTTCGAGGAGAACATGCTTCGCGTCCTCATCGTTTCCCGCAAGCTTCATTATGGCGTCGACACTCATGATAGCTGCGGTTGGAGAGAGCATCGAGGAACCGGAACCATATTTCTCAGCGACCTGAGTGTGCATGAGCGGATTAGTCGGTGCAAAGACATTGGCGCAAAAGTCCATCGTGTCTTGGAGCTCTTTCTCAGTAAGTTCTGGATCGGCATCTGTGTCGAATGTGAGTCGCTAATAAAAGACGAAGAAGAAAGAAAAGAGACCGGCGGCTCCTTGGATGACTGAGATGAATTAGCTCCTCTTCTTTTTTGACAAATGTAAGAGGGATGGACACACTGGGGCGAAGGAACACAAAGGCTTGATCAAAGTTATCTGAATCGACATCTGAGAGAACCGGAGACTCTTGTGCTTTGATTTGCTTATATATTCCTAAGACGACCAGCAGGAATCTATGCAAGCTCGCATTCATTCGTTCAATAAGTCGGACGATCCACTAACCTCGTATATGATGTTCCAACTTTAGCATTGTGAAAGGCAATTGCTTCGGTTTCCGAGCACTGTCTTTTGATTGATGCCGCGATAGAACTTGCAGCGGAGAGCGCGCCAGTGAAGGCAAGATGTACACCGCTAGAAAAGACTACTGGGATCAATGGTGAACGAAATAAACGGCAAATGCGCCTACATGGGTCGATGAATGCTACGAAAGTTCTGTTCAACACACATTTTCACCATGTAGAACAATAATGCGTACCTGCTGCATCACCAACGAGACGATAGCGTGGACCTGCGTAATGGGTGGCAGAATACGAATAGTCTAGTTTGGTCAATTAGCTTGGAAACATAACGGCGTATAATAACAATCAACCTCCTGCGGATTTGACTTCCGAGACCAAGTTTCCGTCTCCGAGAAGACGGATGAGTCCTGGTGCGAGCTTTAACTGTTCGAGATAATGGTCTTTGAGGCTCCCATCTTTGTTTGCGCGCTTTTTGGCTATACTCGCTTCTTCGGTCAACACAACTCCAACAGAGACAGTCTTGTTGTGAAGAGGTATGAACCAACACCTGGCATTGTATGTTGAATAATTAAGTACGGCAAGACAAGTCTTACCATCCCGTTTCATCTAACCCGACTGTTCAGCTAGAGATGCGACAACGGCGGAAGATTCTCACCGGTCAGAGCTTCGAACCACGGCGCGTTCTTACGATCTGGCAAGTTTTCTGGCGCGTACATGTTCGTTCCGCGCCAATACCCCCACGCCGCCTGATTACGGAGCGACTTGTTGATGTGCCTGTTCTGTAAATAGCGCGTCGACTGTTGGACAGTGAGCCAAGTACATATCTAAAGAAGCCCAACTGACGGACGCACCATGATACCATGTCTTCCTGACGCGTCCACGAGGTAGCCAAAATTGATCGATCCAGATTCTCCGGTTTTGCTTTCCCATTGGGCAGAAACCGGTGCGCCGTGGGTGAAGCCAATCTCCTTCACCTTAACGCCTTCGCGGACGGTTACACCAGAGGCCGCAGCATGACGGAGCAAAAGCTCGTCGAATTCAGAGCGGACTACATTCCACGCGCCGTTTTCGGGATTAAGAGAGATGAAGTCGGTATCTTATTATAGACATGAGTGGCGGTGGACCGGACAGAGGGAACACGGACATCCTTCACGTTTATGTTGGTTCAGCTTCACAGCCGCTCCGGGCTGTTAAAAGATAGCTTTTTGAGACCAAATGGGAGAACTTTCAGGATAGAATGCACCTTTTCTGCGAACCCGTGATTTTTGACGACATCTTCAGCCCCAATAAACCGCAGAAATGGTCGGACAGATGGCAAGAGTGATTCGCCAATATGGTATCTATAGTCGGATGGTTTTTCCCCAATCGTTCAGTGCAAAACGACTCACCTTGGGAAAATGTCCCGTTCAAGAAGGGTGACCTCGAAGCCCTCTGCATAGTTAGATGAGCGACCCGACCATAATATTCGAAAATGACTCTATACCTCGAGCAAGCACAGTGGCAGCATAAGCTTCAAATTTGAGTCAAACAGAGAGACACGCGCAGCAGAATGCGATCTTACAGCCGCCAGGACCACCACCGATGACAAGAACTTGGCTGAAGGAAGGCTATAAGTAGTATGGTCAGCGACAAAAAAAGCATCAGAAGTCGCCTCGTACGACTTGAATCATCTGCGTGAAGAGCAGCAAGTTCGCCAGTAGTTTATCTGAAGTAGAGTTTGAACAGTTGGCTTTTTCAACTTTTTCAGCCACCAAGTTTTCGATCCTTGAGCACATATCTCTATATCATATTGACGTTGAGAGCTCCGCAATCGCTGGAACATTCGACAATGCTTTGACTGATACGGGATGTTGCGTGGATAGAGGAGTCACGAAAAGGGAGCCTCTCGCTCAATGCGACGGCGGTTTGCGAGCTACCGAGGACCAGTCAATCACAGGTCCCATGGCAGAGCGCGCATCTCAGGCACCAGAAGAGGGTCAAGTCAATTTGTTGTTGCTGTCCAGGCATTCTGAGTTGGCATAACGCAAAGTTGAGACTTGAGAGTGGTCAACACGTGAGGGAAATTGATCCGATTTCCTCATCATCAGATGCTAATCAGGCAAGCATAGCAAGTACAACTTCATTTATTCTACGGTTCCTCCTTATCGACGACCTTGACCTTCTCCTTCAACGTCCACTGCTTATCGGTCGCCCTTGATAGCGGTATATCCTTCATAAAGAAGAATGTCACCAAGCCGAACCCACAGACCCCCTCCATAATGATCCAGCCCAGCCGCATGCTGTCGAGGAATGCTCTTTTCACGTCGCCTTTCAGAGGCTCTGACATCTGTGGGATCTGACGAATGTTTCAATTGTATTATTCCCGTGACTTTTAGGGCAGTGTATACGTACCAAAGGAATGATGTTATAAGCAATCTCAGAGTTGGCTGGCAGTTGTGCGATTAGCGTTACTGGAAGGCTTTGTCGGAGTTTGTTCTGGATTATGGTGCCCATCAAGGCAATTCCCCAAGCCTGCGAAAATGTGCGACAAAAGGTCAACACTAGAGAAGAAGATCAGCAGTCGCTCAGAGTTCAGAAACATTCTTACATGATATTGCGCTGGCGTTTTGAGTAATAGGCAGCGGCGCCTGGACCGCAAAAGTGGTCGCATAGCCAAAACCCATCCCGAATCCTTGAATCAGTTGGAACACGATGATTGGACCAAGTGGGGTGCGCGTGTTCATTGAATAGATTAGCCCGAGGCCGAGAAGCATGAAGCACCATCCAGTCAATATGATAACCCGGTACTTCCCCGTTCGAGCAACGAGGCGACCTTGGAAAATAGCAGAAGGAGATATGGTTGCGCTGATGGGTAAGAAATAAAGACCAGATAAAAGCGGGCTTGCTTCGCGGACCGCTTGGAACCAGGTTGGGAGATAGACTGACGAGCATCAGAAGATGAAGGGGACAAAAAAAGAACATACAGCCCACTGATATTGACACGATTCCATGTGCTAATGTTGCAACATATCTATGGTCTATTAGAGATCGATTTAGCGAGCAAGATGAAACATAGTACCCAAGCACCGTGGTTCGATTCGAAAGGACTATCAGAGGAATCTGAACGAGGTAAGTAAGAAGTCTTCGCATCAAGCAAAAGAACTGACTGTAGGCTTCACTGGCCAGCGAGACTCGTAATATAATGACCAGGCCATACCCACCAAACCGATAATCAGCGGTGCAAGGACTTGACCCGAAGACCACGGATAAATTATGCCAGCCACACTCAATCCGAGCATGCAGGAGCAAGTGGATGCTATGATAAATACGTTGCCACTGTAGTATTGTCAGAGCCTTTTTCACGGAGACGGGCAGGTATTTCTTACAGCCAATCAACCTGGAGGAGCTTGGTTTTGATATTTTCGCGAGGGGTTTGGACGTTTAGGAAGAAGGTTACGACAGCCATAGCCAGAGCACAAAGTGGGATGTTCATGTCTGAATGATCGTTAATATTGATACATCCCTGTGGTGTGTACTCACAGAAAAGCCATCGCCATGAAGCTTTCTCAGAAAGGCTGCCAGCGATGAACGGTCCAACGACGCTTCCCAATGTCCAGACAAGACCAGTAATCCCATTGAATACGCCTCGTTCGCGGAGTGGAATTAAATCGGCTGTCACGATCGAGGTGAGAGCTTGAATTCCTCCGCCAGCAACGCCTTGAATGGCTCGAAGAACATTAGAATGTCAACGAGGTGATGTAGCACCGTACCTCGACCGCCTATTAGTATATTCATAGTCCGGGCAGATCCCGCGACAGCGGAACCGACTGCAAAAAGCCCAAGTGCGCCTGAAGAATCGCGGTAATCAGTGCCATGCTCCGCGACCTTGAAAAAGCGGACCGAGTAGTATTGGCCGCCTTCCAAATATCTGAGCCAGGTTCCCGCTTAGGGGAAGGCAAGATGCAGCACCCAGAGCATACGCGGACCCAACCCAGCTAAAGTTGTCGCCTCTCAAATCATGAACGATGGTCGGTGCTGCAGTGCCTATCGGACAGTGTTAACACATTGTAGCCTAGCCAATAATGACCTTACCAACTCCACCAAGGTCGAGGGACGAAAGAAAAAGTGAGCAACAGAGTGCTACAAACACCAGCCAGAATCGAAAATCGCGCTTTGGTCCATGATACTCTTCTTCGGCGGCTTGGGCCTGTGGCTCCACTTTGAGAGGCTCGGATACGGTCTTCTCATCGAAGGTCGTAACCTCGGAACTAGGAGGAGCCTTGGTCGAATCCATTCGGTCTCGAGTTGAGGTGTGAAACTTGGGGTTTGAATGACACGATTATTGGCATCGGAGGGACAAAAGCTTGATAGGCAACAAGGACTGAATGAATGAGCAGGTAATGGACCGCATGTCTGCAGCGCGTTGGGCCAGAATCCGATGAACTCTGTCCAACCTCTCTGTCTGTCATCAGAGTTTTTCCGAAGTGACGGACTGTGACACGACACTTTTCCTGCTTCTCAATGTTCACGTTCATTCTCTTCCTATTAGTATCCTATCCAACTGTCATCAACTCAAACCGTCTGTTGGCGCTCTGAACACAGAGCCCGCGTCCAACGAATCAGCAAAGGTTCTGTTGCCTTCGATGATCATTCGAGCCCAGTCTGCACGCGTTGCGCTGCTTCTCCGTTTAATAATGGCCCTGGGGTTGACAGTCCAAGTTCAGCGCCCCTTATCAATCTACTCGTCGGCTTGGGCTGTTACGAACAACCCGCGGTAACATATGAAGCATGTCGAAGAGTTTTGTTTTCTCAACGCGAGATCCATTCACTGCTCGCACAAACAATTTGTCGATTCGATCTGAGTTGACTGGGTGCCAGGTCTCACTTAAAAAGTACATTCCTTCCTGTCTCTCACAGTCTACTCCAACCTTCAACGATGCCTTCCGGAACCGAGCACTTTATGGACACCGTTCTTCGGTCTTTGGATCTATATGCCACTCGACCACTTATAAAGGAGGTTGTTGGTCCCGTGGAAGCGCGAACCTGCAACATCATAACCTACCAAGCTTATGCCCACGATTTGAGCAAGGTCGCTTCTTTCGTTTGCTCTTCCTTCTTCTTCTCACCTTTTTGAAGGCTGCTCTATTCTGGTGGCAAACACTGTCGAAACTAGGTGTCGCTGTTGGTGATGTTGTGGGTCTATGGTACGCGAGACCAAGATTTGCCATCCCAGTGTCAGATTATTTGTTAGGATCACTGGGAGTCAGTATCCAGACCTGGTTCATCTCTATGGTCAGTATTCCGCTACCAGTATTCTTTGCTTGATGCTGAGGGGTTCGATTTAACCTAGCGATCAGCCGTGCTGGTTTCGTTCCTCAAGTTTTCAGTCAAAAATACACAGAGCAAGGTCTAGCAGTTGTTCGGGACCTCCTCACTGCCTGCGAAGCCAAAGTCCTACTATACGATCCTGTTTTCGAGGGAATTGTGCAGAGTCCGAGCCTTACTCTTGCATGTCAACGAATACCTCCCCTGGTGTCGCTGACATACGTTGACGCGGCACTGCCATCACTCCCTGATGTCAAGCCAACAGATACTGCTATGATCTTCCACACGAGCGGTACCACTTCCGGGAAGCCTAAGCCCGTTCCCGAGAGCCATAGGTGGTTCCGGTTCCAAGCGATTCAATGGAAGGGTATTTGTCAAGCTGCGCCATTCGATGGCCAGGATGTGTACAATAACATCGGCTCATATGGTCACGTACGTGGCCACCTTCGTTGATGATAACTCTATTCTATTGTTTAAAAACACTAGGTCGGCAGTGCGACCATGATCAGCCACCTTGGTGCATCTGGTCAATGCATGGTTAGACTCGCAAGCAATACATTGGACCGTGAACAAATCCTTGAGCTGACACGACTGGCTGGCCTTAACAACCTCTTCATCTATGCACCATGGCTCTCGAAACTAGTAAATCTCGCCAAGACAGACCCCGAGATTTTAACTGTACTGCGCTCAATGCGTCAAATATCGTATACTGGTTGGTCTGTCAATTGGAAGGTTTCGTCGCTGACTCAAACGGCATAAAGGCGCCTCATTAAATCCCGAAGACGAGCAGTGGATCATCGAATCCGCTATCCCTGCGACTTGTGTCTATGCAACGACCGAGATAGGTGCGCTTTCTCGAGACGGCTCAGCCCGACGGACACTAATGGTGTTTTCTTGAAGCGCTTTGTCTGGTTTCAGACCTTGATCGTGTCAAGATGATTCCCGCCATGCGTCTTGTGCCCGGCGTTCAGTGCCAATTCATTCCGACCAATTCTTTGACACACGAACTAGCCACGAACGCCCATGGTCAACTTACAGGGAATCAACTGTATGACTTCTTCATTCCGGAGTCTGCACCAAACTGCCCGCACCCGTCTATTCGCAACCGGCCTGATGGCCATATCTCGGGCGATCTATTCGAAGAAGTCTCACCTGGGTATTATGTGTTCCGTAGGCTCAACTTGACTTGTGGTTGTCTTGGTTCATTCATATTGCCTCAGGCGGCAGAAACGACGATTGGATTAGAACGGGTCCTACTTGTGCTTTTTGCGACACGAAGTTAGTGCATAGAAATCACTTGTTCGCCGGTCTTGACCTCTCTAGATCCATCGAGGACAACTGTATGCTTACCTGTGCCGACCTGGTCAAAAACTGCACCGTCGTCGGGCATTACAAGCCTGCGTTGGTCCTCTTCATCGAACCTGCCCTTGCACTCTCCAGCGAGAGCGATTTGGCGACGTTCAAGATGGAAATTTTGAAGCAAACGGCAGCTTTCAATGCACGCTTGTTTTCGCACGAAAGAATCACGGATGCGCGGAGGATTGTTGTTGTGCCTCCAGGGAGCTTACCACGCACGACTGTAAGTTCCTTTTTCGCCAGCTTGATTCAATAATTTTGTTTGGAACAGGAAAAAGGCAATGTCCGGTAAGTCTTGTCATATATCTTCCCTGTTTCAGACTGTCTGACCGGTTTAACTGCTAGCCGCAAGGCTGTAGAAGAAGACTACGCCAGTCTGTTGCAAGATATATATACTTCAAAGGCCTAGATGTCAGCTGCAGTTTCCTCCCTACAATACAACGGTGAACATAGATGTGTCAGCAGTGCCCTGATAATGCAACCACTCCTCGCGACGTTTCTTGTAATCATCACTGTTCAACTCGTCTTCTGTCACCCGTTCGAATGAAATAATCTCTCCCGAGTTCGCTAGAGGGCTCTTGTCCCGTCTCATCATAGTTGTCTTCTGAAGCAGAACAGGGCCATGGGTTTGGGGGCGATGCAACAACCGTGATGCACGTTCGTTCAGTGGACGGTTATAGACCGCCATATCGTCCATCCATAGTTCGTAGCTCTCGTGCAGTCGACCAATACCAACATCTTGATTCTTCGCCTTGGCAATCTGTCCTTGCGAATGCAGCATGACAGCATCGACCAATTCGCACCCAAGTAGTTGAGCAATTTTTTGTTCGATGTCCTGGTCACGAACAAGCTCAATCTGCCGGACATCTTCTGTCTCGGATTGCGGTATGAAGAGCAAACGAAGCTTGGGTTCCTCCCCGAACAGGGGATGCTCAGTCACAGTCTGGCGCAAGATATCTCGAGTGGGTGAGCCAGCGGGAAGAGCCATGTCATGCGCTCGGGCAATCGCATAGAGCAAGTCAACGGAGCTGGGTATCATGGGTCACTAAAAGCGCTGGCATTCAGCAGCCACGTACAGGTAGCGTGGGTCTAATATTTTTTCCTGAACCTTGGAAATGGCAGCTTCAATTTGAGACTTTTGTGTAGTCGTCGTTGCGGTTTTCAGTGCAGTTTCATAGGATTCGATGCTTTCGGGTATATTTCCCAGAGCCTGAATTAATATGAGCGCAACATGAAGAAACGAAGGTGAGCATACATCCTCGCAAACACCGCGACGAAACCAGCCTTTAGAGTAATGGTGATCCAGTTGAGTCGACTAAAGATAGAGGTCTGAGATGGTCAGGACTGATGAGTTTTGGATGATAACCTTCTTCGCATCTACCAAGCCTTCTTCCATCCTGGAATGCAAGGCAAGAAGCTCATTCAGAAGTAACTTGCAAAAGTGAAACCAACCTATTCAGAGCCTGGTAACAAGCCGCCCGGTTAGCATACAACACAGAGTTCTTAGGACTCAGTGTGATTGCAGCAGAGTATTTCTCAATCGCCTCCTGGTATTTATTGGCGACGAATAGTTTGTTTCCAGCAACTTTCAGTTCTTCAGCCATGGAGGGGGGAAAGGAGGTGCGGTAGCGTGACATTCACGTGAGCATGAAACATTTCGTACTTAATTTTCGTGAACCCCGCCATTACTAGTCGAAGAGTCAACATAGTCACCATGGATTAGTCGGACGTCTCGAGATCGAAACTCGTGTGCATAGAGAGTGGGCTCGAAGCATTTTGCTTGACAATGACAGAATGCAGTCGCGCTAAGTTCTGAGTCCTGATCACCGAGAGTGCACATTGATGCCCATCCGGCACGAGACCGCTGAGATGCAGGACTCTAAGCTGCGGAAGAGATCTGAACAGACTGTCGAATAAGGTACTCGATATATGGATCGAAATTAACGCGAGGTTGGTGATAGAGGGGAGATTGAGGGTGGAGGGGGAGCGACACAGCCAGACAAAGAAAGATTCAGAATTTTCGGCATCTTCATCTCGAAGTGAAATCCCAACATTCTCCAGTGTAAGCACCCGAAGAGCAGGGAACGAAAAAGTCTGCATGAAATTAATCCCAAGCTCCACGTCCACGAAGCCAAAGATGAATTCTGAAACGTGGGGCAGATGGAGAATTGGCTCCTTATTGACATTCGATTGGCCTTGAGGGACATGACCCATAATCGACAACTTCTCCAGCAGAGGATTCCCTCGTAAGATGCGGGCTAAGCTGGGAATAGTGGGCATGACATCCTGTGCCTGGTACTTGAGCTCCAAAGAGGTCAGACCAATGAGGGAAAGCTCTGCTAACTCCCAGTCAACGTGTACTCCGACAAAGGAGACCTCCCGAAGATGACACGAAGTGAAGTTGGGACCGAATAAAGGCAGAGAAATATTGAGTGTGGCTGGTTGGAATGGTTGTTCGTGGCATGCAAAGTAAGCATTGCAGCGCGCCAGCCGCAGAGTCTCGAGGTTTGTCATGTCTTGCCCGAATTGCTGTGTGTGTTGCAGGAAGGAAAGCATCGGGTGCCATGTATCCACCAGAAGTTCCAACGAGCGCCAGCGATATACACTCTCTCGCACTAGCGGAATGTTGAGAACGGCATCGATATCGGCAGCCGTAAACTCATGCTCGTCTTCTTCGTCAATGACAACCCAGTCCGGGTCACGAAAATCAAATAGAATATCGAGTGCGCAAGTTTGCGAGCGCTGCAGCCAGTGCAACATACGGGTAACCTGCGCAGTCGAAGTAGGGAAGGTCAGGATGACAGAGGTCCAAAGTCTACCAGTCTCAAGTGCGACATGTCTCCATCGACGACAAACATGTAAGAATGTGGTAGGAGAGGTGATTTGTGGTTCGCCTTCTGGAGGTTCAGAGAGAGTGGGTGGTGTAATGGCGAGAGCAAAAAAAGTCTCGAGCAATTCGTTCGGGAAATGGTGAATAGAAGTGGGAGAGGTATCTTGAGTCTGTTCGAGGGCGGCATCCCTAGTAGTAGATGCTCGAATGTTGTCCCACGCTTGTGAGCGGTTCCACTCTTCGACGGCGCTGGCAATGTTAGAGGAAAACGAAGACATGCCAGCTTTCCTTTGTCTGTCCGAAGTTGGAAAAAGCCATGCGTACGGTTTGTTCTATACTGGTAGCAGTTTATAGCCCCTGCCGCACACAACCCATGCAAGTAATTTTCTCTGCTTCGGAAACTCGACGGCATGTGGTGGGCGGCGGTTTGAGGTGACTGGTGGATCACGGTCATTACTGGAAGGGGAATCCAATATCGTCCTCAGGTAATTGAGTTGGATTATGCGATGCTGTTGGGAAGGGTCATCAATTGAAGTTGCAACTGGGCTTTTGACTGAGCTCGCCATCATTGCCGATGTGGAAGCAGAGGTCGGCGCCGCCACAGTCGGCCCGTAGACAAGTCATCTTGATGACTAATTTTACATACTTCTCAGCCACCACAACTGATAAATATGTACCATTCGCCCTTTCGACAAGTGGTCCACACTAATTTTGCGCCATCCGACGCTGAAATCATCGAGATACGAGATTTTCTAAAGACACCATACGAGCGACTACCAGCCCTTGATGCGAGGGTCCAAACACTCTTGAACCAGCTGGAAGATGCAGTGAAGGAACGCGATCAAGTGAAAGAGCTTATTGTCGACCATGAAGCTTTGCTCTCACCTATTCGCAGGGTCCCGATTGATGTTCTGAGGCTTATCTTCATCCACACATTACCGGACACACGAAACACGGCCCTCAGTGACAACGAGGGACCTCTTCTTCTCTCGAGAGTATGCAAAGAGTGGAGAGAAATCACACATACGACGCCTCAGCTGTGGTCTTCGCTACACATCGTTGTCCCCACTACCGAACCGTACATCAGCAATTTGAAACGAATGCTGGATACCTGGCTGGTCCGCTCTGGCGCTATGCCACTGTCTGTAAAAATCTTTACTGGAAATTCTAGCTTCCTCAGGCTCTACCACCACCACCGTACTCCGCCAAGACCTCCTCCAGTGATCTCACTATTAGCACCTGTCAGCTCACGATGGCGGAATATGGCAATGACGATCCACCGAATAGAAGACCTGGAAACACTCGAATCATTAAGTAAAGAGGACGTGCCTCTCCTCGCTGACCTCGATCTCTCCTTCGATTATCGACTTGCAAACAGTGCCAGCGCCGAAGAGCATCAAACACTTGATGCGCGGTGTAGTTTTAAATTTGTCGCTACTCGTCAACTTCGCAGATTCTTCTTTCACGGGACATATACCCGTCTACCAAGAACACCACAATGGGGAAACCTTCGCATTCTCAAGCTCGCTCTCTCGGATAACCCACAAACCTCTATCACATTCCCTTTCCCATTCTTACACCAGTGCACCTGCCTCGAATTGCTATACGTTCATATCCGTCGGTACAACCTCTTATACGACGCCAATAGTGATGAAATCGTCCATCTACCTCTCTTACGGTCCCTGCAACTCGAACTACCCATGATTCGACCAAATGAAGCGGTCAACCGAATTCTCGATCGATTTTCGCTTCCCCAATTGGCACACCTTCATCTGTCTCGCAAGACTTCTCAAAGTCTTGATAAGCAGATGTTTCGGGTTATACCACACCTCAGGCAACTAACTATGACTGCAGATGGCATACTTTCCGACACACTGTTAGAGGCACTATCAGTTTTACCAGTGCTCCAGCACCTGCGCATGCTGGGCGAGCCTCGTTTACCCAACGTCAATGCCGAGCCAGTCGCACATGGGCCGAATGGCATGGTAGTGACCGTCGAGCCGGCACGAAACCAAATCGATCCCGATTTCCTTCGTGCTTTCCTTCCCCATACTGATTCCACCCTTCTATGTCCCAGCCTCCAGTGTCTGGAGATTGCCAATGCCTGTGCTCTCGCAGACGAGTTGATTGTCCAATTTCTTTTGGCACGGACATCTCCCACAGTGCCTACCCGGCTCGTACGCTTCAACTGTACCTTGAACCGCGCGGCGCAGGGCGGGGTGCAAGGACATTTGGTGGATGTTTTGTCGCAGGGCTTCCGGCTCGGAATAACTTATTATCCACCGCCACTCCCCAAAACAACCTATTCACCATTGGAAGGAGCGGCTCTATCCGAATCTCAAGGAGAACCAAGGCTCGGGCAAGACTGGGGTGGGAGCGATGACTTTGAAATGTTTTTTCTATGACATTGCAAGTCTTCGGCCATGACGCCTATCATCCGACGCCGATGAAAGCTTATCTGAAACTTGAATGGAAAATAACCACTGTCATCAATTCAATGCTAATCTGTACACATTGGCGGAAGCAAAAGGATAAGGGAAATGAGTCTAATGCGTGTTGTATGGATACAGAGCGAAGTCAAAGACCGTTAGAGCTGGAAGTAGGTGGAAAGCGACCCTCTTAACTTGCCCAATCTCCATCGAACCGTGGTGGCATGTGCGTGCCGACAGTCCGTGCAAAGGGTGTCCATAAATGCCTCGTCATCTTGCATTATCTCCAGCTCGCGAATAAGCCAGGTGTTCCATGGAGCTTTGGCGTCTGGCGTAAGCTTCTTACGCCAGTACTCGGAGCGAAATGGGGTGCATTGCCGACATGAATCGTTGCTGTAACAATTCGGTTCAGTGAGAGGGTCGATTATAATTCGGACAAGTGCATCCTGGAGTGCTTCACGTCCGGCGAGCAGACGACGGAGGTCGAGAGGAGAGAGAACAAGGTGTGAACGACCACCATCACCACATCCATGAAACTTTTGGACAGAAAGTGCGTAAAAGGCGGAAGGAAGAATTTCGGGGACTTGACACTCATGTGCAAGAGTTATTGCCTCTGAAAACAGCTAAGAAATGATAGGAACGATGACTTGAACAACACACCAGCAGCGTGCGGAAGAGCATGAGCACGCATATTGACAGCGTCGACAGGCCATCGTGCTTTCAGCTGCTTGACGCCCCATTCACGCAGGTCGGGAATATCATACTTTGTAGAGATCCGCAGTGTGGAGGCGAGAGTGTCTGAGTTTCGGCGTCAGTCAGCATGAAACAGGCCGGCAAGCACCTACCGAAAGTGACTCCTTGGCCCTGTGCAAGGATCTCTCTGGTCGTTGGTCGGCAAGGATCACAGCAAGGGAGATTGTTCGTACGCATTCTGATATATCCATCGTAAAACGACTTCCCAGTCGGCCCTCAAGCAAGTTTAGCTACGGCCAAGATGAAAGAAAGGAACTCACAATGCATCACCAAACAATGCCACACTTGGACAACCATCTACGCGGTCCAGTTCGGCGGGTGGCGGTTGCGGTAATGACAACATGTCGGCAAATACTGCAGAGCATAGGAGTCGCTTTCGATGAACCTTGAGCAGTCTCTGCTCTATCTCGAGTACAAAATCGCCATCAGGAAACCAGAACGTCTTGTGAATTGTTCCGCGACTGAGACCATCGCTGAAGTCTAATGCAGTGGTAAGCAGTGGGAGAGGGTCGGAGCTGGGCGGTCGCGAAAAGCGTCGACGCTTCAAGCTTCGTGTGCTGTCTGGGGACCCCTCGATATCAGCCATGGAGAGTGTGGTGCATGTCAATGACATGGTGGACAAGGGACAGAAGGGGTGTGACCGTGACTGACGCGCTCTAACGCGTGAATTCTGATTGGTTCATGGATCTCCGATGTCTCCATGTTCGGGGTTATCTACAACTGTGAGATCGCCTTGAGATCGGCGGTCTTTTCTAGTCGCGACAGTCGCATTCTTGGTTTCACAGCTCAGGTCATGCTTATTTCGACCTCAACACCGTCTGTGCATCCAGTGGGCACGAGAATCAAGTCCCGATAAGTCTGGAGCAATCAATGTACTTAATTCATATACTGTATGATCTCTTCACTGGCACCCTTTAACTCGTTTACACGTGCACTAGGAAACCCAAGGGAAGCCTCTTTAATTCTGGATACTATCGCTGCCAGTGGCAGACCGATCAGTCGCAGTACTGGCGAACCACGCAAATCGCATCCGGGTCCCCCGTCGTGGTCAACGGTTGTACCACGCAAGCGGTCAAAGCGGTCTTCGATGGGCGGGCGCGCCAGGGTCGAGATACGTCAGGCTGGCGATCGAGAATTCAGCTTTAGTCTGATTAGAGAATGATAAGATGCTTAACCCTGCGTCACTGTCTGTGGACTGCTGGCTGGGTGAGTCCGGAAAAACAGTTGTGCGGGAGCATCTGGAGACATACGGGGCTTTGGTGATGGCTTTGTTAGATCATGGACGCAGCCGTTGTCTTTATCACATATAAACACACAACGAAATGCCCATGGGACTCACAAATGACGCGAGTTTGAGTTTGGCCAGGAACCCTGGGTTTCGTGTCAAAAAATCCTCAGCTGATCATGAAGCGATTGTTACTTGTAGTATTCATGACACTCTGAACCCGGTGATTGCCTGGCTCCAGATCCATGAAGTGCATGCTGATTGTCCAGGTTTGACCTGGATGCAAGCTCTGGTGCCAAAGTTCCACAGCACACCGAGCCGTGTTGACACCTGGCAGTTCTCGGACACCGTACCGCTGTGGATTGATTAAGACGTCGGTCATAGCTGGAGCAGCAGCCGCGAACGCATGGCGTTGCTCCGAGTTGGACTTCTGAACCAATGTCGGTGTTGAACCGAATGGACATGTATACGTGCTAATTAGCACGGGTTCGTCAACCTAGGACTCGCCGAATATGTTCGAGCTGTTGTTTTTGAACGGTTCTGCCAGTGCGGGTCATGTTACCATGTAGACGATAAAAGACGATAAATAATTCTGCTAAAGTTCCAAATTGACTCGCCGAGCATTTGGTACATATGCACACGCATACTAGAGATCGGAGCAGAGGACGATGTACTTTGGCGTCTGCACGTAAGCTTGGTAGTCTGAATCGTTATGCTGAGGTCAAATTCCACTGCGCATTCTCTTTGAGCCCAAGAATCTAAACGTTCTAAAAGGTCACGATGAGTCAAAACCAAGTGTCGACTTCCGCTTTGCTTCCGTCTGACTAACATGATTGCCGAGTGATGGCCAGGGAAAAACACCACGTGGTAAATCTCCGCTTGGTTCGAAACTCTCACCAGCTCAAATGCGACACTTGCAGTCCTTTCAAGCATGTCTCTTGCCAGACAACTCATTGTACTCACAGACCCTAACTTTATCAAGCGGCGTCCAAATACAAACAACCTCCTCTTTGAACAACAGAGTCCAAACAGAGCCTGTTATAAAATGAACTCTGCGCAGGTTCATGAGCGTGACCTGCAAAGTTTAGGGCTCGTTCGGTAACGAGATCGACAGAAACCGGTTTCTCAGCAGAAATCCAGCTCGAGAAACTGCGCTGGATTCTCGTTACCGACCGAGCTCTTATTATATATATATATTATGGCTTACTCTCCAAGTCATACTCCGCCCGAGCCTGGCTACCCGCCCTTCCGCACTGACGCGGTCTCTGGCCTGGTCGGCACATGTTTACGTGTGGACCATGACCATCTGCTCAAGACGACGAGCTTAAAATCCGACTCTGACGATTATTCGATCCCTCCACCATGCATTTGTCTTTACTTCAATCTCTCGCTAGTGGTTTAACCGCCTTTCCGCTCCTCGGTGCGGCTTCCAAACCTGGACCCACCATCTACCACATCCCCTCCACACCTCAGAACGGGACTGCTCAGGCTCAGCTTATTTCCAGCGCTTCTGGCTTTGACGCTCCGAAGGCTACCCCCATCACCAATTCCTCGTTTGACTGGTGGTACTTCGATGTCGCATCCAACAACCCAGCTGACCTCGCCTCGATCACCATCGTTTTCTTCACAACCACACAACAAGGCTTCCCTTTCACCGAATCAAGCTCTGCTACCCCTGTCCGTATCTCGGGGACGTATTCGAATGGGACACTTTGGGATCTCACCTTGGACGGAGATGGTTCTGGCGCAACCGTTGTTGTCGATGGCGAGGCAACTAGCGGAAATTGGAGCTCAGGTGTGACCTGGCATGCGACATCAACTTCCAATTATCTTATTACACTTGATACACCGCGTTTGAAGGGAGCGATAACTTTCCAATCGGTGTGTTCTGTTTTTCTAGTGAAGATGTGCTGATGAAAGCCTTCAGGTTGCGCCTGCGCATCTTCCTTGCGGAGCTGATGCCCCCGGTCAGAACCTAGAAGTTGGACCACGAATTGGTTGGGCCAATGCGATTCCGGATGCGAATTCATCTGTGCGACTCAATATCACTGGGACCGTGCTTGCTTTTGACGGTTTAGGGTATCACGACAAGGTTTGTTTCCTTTCTAGGCTAATTCTATCACTAACTTTCCCCCTATCCGTTCCCAGAATTGGAGTGACCTGCCTTTTACCACCAATGTCGCGTCTTGGTACTGGGGGCATGCCCGTGTAGGGCCACTTTCGATCGTCTGGTTCGACTTCCTTGATCTAGAAGGAAATGAAAGCGTCAGCGTTTATGTCTCGCGCAACAACACAATAGTCACAGCAAGTTGTTCCCCCGGAAGCATACAAGTCCGACCTACCGGCTCGACGGAGCAGGCGGCATACCCTCCGGTCGTCAGTAATCCGGACCCAGCCGGCTACCGAATCGAGATTGTTGGCGGCCTCGCGCTGAATATTAGCGTGCTGGTGCCAGCGGTACCGACGAACCCTTTCTATACGCGGTCCATTGGGACCATATCAACCATGGTCGATGGAAAGTTTTACTCCGGCAGAGCACTCTTCGAACAATTCAAACTGGTCCAATCTTAGAGCATGACTACCATGTTTGCATCTCTTTTAAAAATAATCATTTTGATTCCAGGCCGACTTTCGTGGTATCTCCGGACTTCTGTGAGCAGGCAGATTCGACTTGCAAATGCCATGGTGGCTCGTCACGTCAAGCAAGAGCGGAAAATCTCGCTCTTTTACCTCGAAAATGACATGAATGGGTGCAGAACAGCTCCCTCGAATTTTCGCCGTCGTCTCCAACGAACCAATTCATCGCCCCATAGTAAGAAAAAGGAAAAGTTCCCAAAAGGGATTTTGATGGGATCAGACACACTATAAATACTCGTTCTGCACCGGGAACATCCTTACCTTTCGACCACCACCATCTGCACCATGAACGCTGTCCACTGTCTCCCTTTCACCACCGAATTCCGTGCCGTCAAAGCAAATACCACTCTTGTCGAACATGACATGGCGCGGAGTAAACATTTGCGTGCTGGAGCCAATCCCCATGGCCCTCTTGCTCTCATGGAAGCTCTTCGTCACGGGCACCCTGGCCAACCAGACCCAAAGGGAGTCCAGCACGTCAGTGTCCTGAATGCAGGTGCGTTGTCGCGTTTTTTTTTCACAATCAGTTACTGAACGCGTTTATCTAGGTGTCACTTATCTCGCGTCCATTGGGGTTGGCTCACCCGCTACAACTTACAATCTGCTCATTGATACTGGTATCCCTCCATCATTGTCGTCATCCTTTCCGACTCAGTTCTAGGCTCGTCTAACACGTGGATTTCCGCCGTCGAGAAGCGCTTTACGCCGACCAAGACCACCCATGTACGCGTATATAACGCTCTTCCGTGCTCGTCATCACTAAGCTCACCATCAGGACACACGCAAGAAATTTCAGATTGGATACGGCAAGGGTGATTGCTCTGGCGAGGAATGTAGGAGCGTCATTTCTATCTTTGTCTCTGGACTAATAGGATATCTCTCGTTTAGTCATTGATCAAGTAACTCTTGGCCCAAACCTCGTTATCCCCCAGCAGTCCATCGGCGTCGCAAACCGAGCCTCCGACATGAATGGAATGGATGGTATTCTTGGTGCGTATTTTTGCACTTTTTTCTAGTCTCACCTCGTTCCAACAGGTATTGGTCCGACTGGCCTTACTCGTGGTACTACGGCGGACAAGGCACCCGTTCCCACTATCATGGACAACCTCGTCAAAGATGGAACTATCTCCCAAGAATGCATTGGCATCTACTATGCCCCGACAACTGCCAGGCCCAACGAGCTTAGCGGGTGCCTTGATATCGGCGGTGCTGATTCGACCAAATACACCGGTAAACTCGACTACATGCCGATTACCAAGCAATCGCCCGCGTCAAATTATTGGGGACTTGAAGGTAGACAGTCAAGCTTTTCCATGGATTACAACTGATGCTCATCAAAGAGAGCATCATTTACGACGGCGAAGAGATCATGGCTCACTGCGCGGGGATTTCTGACACGTCGGTAACTTGGAAATGGATTTCAACTTGTTTTTCACAGTTTTTACTAGCGGAACGACGCTTGTGATGTTACCTTCCCAGTCGTTTTCCCGTTACATGGAAAAGACTGGTGCAGTGATGGACGAGACGACTGGGCTCCTCACCGTCACCGACGAGCAGTATGCCAACATGAAGAGCATGATGTTCAAGATCAACGGTGTAAGTCGGCTTTCATTTCACCGTTTCGTTGTCTGACATTTGTCAAAGGTCCAATACGAACTCACCAAGAATGCTCAGATGTGGCCTCGCTCTATGAATTCGATGCTCGGCGGCGACATGAACAAGAAATATCTCGTGTTCGCTAACATGGGCGACATTAACATCGGGGATGGCCTTTGCTTCATCAGTTTGTTGTTTTGGATTCGCATTCTTCGATATCTGACAAGAGTTCAGACGGCTATACGATGCTTCAGCGTTTTTACTCGGTCTACGACACTACCAACTGCCAGATCGGCATGGCTACCACAAAGCATACGATGGACGAAACCAACTAGCCACTTCTTCACACATGATTCGCATTCCAATCTGTACATTAGTCATCCAACTGCAATCAATCCGGAACTCTCGGCCTGTAACAATTTGATGATTAGCCTCGTCATCGAAAATTCGTGAACTACCTAGGGCTGGTTGAAAGAAACTGAGGAGAGTACTCGAGCCTGGATAAGGTAGCTCTTCTGTGTGTAGAGCTCGTCCAAGTCGGGTGAGGCCGTTAGCCGCTCCGGGTGCTCGGCTGAGAGGAGGGTCTCAAAGCCGAAATGAGACTATGAGTGGATCCGAACCAGAAAAACCCTTGTGGGTGACCAAAAACATCCGAGAGTCGCGTGAGGGGAAGGCGGGTTCGAAATGCGGGTGTCTCATCCAAGCGGCTCACCAAGCCGATTTTGATTGCATCATAACTTGGTAATTATGATTTGAGGGCAAGCGCGTACTGAAGTTAAATCATCGATTCCCAGATACCCTACTGAAAACAGAGATACACTTAAACACAAGGATTCGTGACAATTCTAGAAGGTGTTTTGAAAACAACGACTTCTGCCGCCCGCCGGTTTGATAGCCCGGGTACCGTGATGATGGTGCCGTTGGGTGCTTTGGCCTTGTTGAACTTTGGTAGCTCTTCTGCGGCAACCGTGTCGGGGTCCTCTCCGTTGTTCAACCGCACCAACAACTGCGAGCTGGTATACGTCGCACACCCGCTGTTGAAGGCGAACGACGAGAGCGCGCCGAACTGGTTGTCGTTGAGCACGACGCGGGGGCCCGTGTTGCTGTTGATGCATTTGGTGAACTGTACGAGGTCCGAGTTGAGCAGCAGACTGGCGTTGGACTGCGACAGCGGAAGCGGGTAGGGGAGCTCGGCGCAGTTGGTCTGCAGGCAGACGTGTCCGTATCCAACTGTGATTTTCCCTTGAAAGTGTCAAAGGGACGGCTGCAAATGTAAGAAGCGGTCTCTTACCGGTCACTTTATCAGACTTTGGAGAGGGTACGAAAGACTCGAATGTTTCCATCATCGTGAGGGTGGCGCTGTTGACTCCCGTGCTGCATTTCGTCGGGTTGTTGATAGCACCGCAATTGACCCCTGCGTTGACGACGCTGAACTCCTCCGATGTGTAGGCTACGATGGAGCCCGTTGACGTCGTTCCGATCACCCCTCCATCGGGAAGGCTGTTCACATACGTCGCGCGAATCTTCAGGGACGTATTCCCGGGGAAGCCCAGCGCCACCGGGTCAAAATTCGTGCCCCCATTGAACAGCCCATTCGCGTCGATGTTGACCGGCGCTTCAATGCCTACGCCTGTCGCGCCATTGATCACTTGCAGGCTGAGAGACGACATCCGCTGGCCACCGGCATTTCCGCGGTTCTTCCAGCCCCAGTCGACGTCGATGCCACTGTGCGCCGGTATAAAGACTTGCCCGCCAAACGGCTTGAATATGTAGAAGGAGGAGGGATTTGTGTTGGGGACGAAAGGGTCCGGGCGGAGACCAGGGCCACAGCCGACACCCGTTGTCGGGAGCATCCAGCGGAAGTCCGCACCACGGCCAGTGATGTCCTGGATAATGGACGTGGTAAATGTCGTGTTCACGATACTGTGCACGCGAAGATGGTATTCCCCACTCGGAAGAGTAGTGCGCAAGCTGACCGTTGTCGCGGTGTTGGAGAATATATTCATTGCTTCAAGCACTGTGAGTGGGCGGGTTCAAGAGAAATCATGACTCACAAAGCACATCCATGACAGTGTCGCTGGCGGCTGCAGACGTCCCTTGCATCAGCTCGACAGTAGAGACTGCGGTCGAAAAGGTGAACTGCAGATCTGCGCCATTGGCTTGCACGATCTCCCAGGTAACACCGAGGCCCCAGATTTCGTCAAAACCTGTGTAGTTGCGGCTAGGCGGGCCGACCATCCCGATATTCTTGATCGTATACGGGATGGATTGGCCACAAGCCGGGGCGAGAATCGCCAGCGAGTAGCACGCAAAAAGAGCTAAAGAGGTCGGCGAGAGCATTTGAGATTGGGTTGCGAATGCTACCGGGTGTGAATTCGAAATATATACTGCGCGTACACCATAGACGCTCGACAAACAAGGCGGATAGACATCTATGGGCGGCGGCGGCGAGGTAGCAAGAAAATAAAGGCGGGTAGGTAATGTGGCAGATGCGGTGGCGGGCTAATACGGCGGTCCTTGGATTGCCAAAAATGCTGTTGTTTCTTTGCCAACGTTATTGAAGGCGGGTTGGGATCACAGAGGAGAAGCGCGACTTGACGATTTCGGAGCGAGCGGCGGCGGAAGCCTAGAGAAGCACCTAGCAAATGGGGAGAGCAAACACCAATGCCAGTGGTGTTACCAACTGTGGACGGTGGTGTTGAGTCATCGATGCACAGCCACTGGCTGCACTTCCGAACCAATCGATAGCTACAAGAGTCGTGTACATTGGTTGAAATAAGTTAAGTTATGCGTATGGTATATGTAAAGCAGGTAAAAATGCATAGTGGGGGGGGGGAATCGATACATGGAGGGTTTCACAGTGAGATTAGGTGTTTACATAAGGTCGGCCCGGCGAAGGTGGTCGCGCAATATCGACTCTTCCACTGCGCCAAGAGTTACAGCGGTGGATTTCGTGTCCTGGAGCATTTAATGTTGTTATTAGTGGCATTAAAATGACGACTTACGATAACGGATGTTAGATGGACATAGAATGGGCGTTGAACGGGCGAGTAGGTGCGTTGGATCTCTTTAAAGTGTTGCTGGAAGTCTAGATAATGGTGTTAGCCAAAGAAGGTTACCAACGCAGCCCGGAGGAGTTAAGAAGCGAGAAAGAGTACGCGGCCGGCGTTAGAAAGACTGCTCTAAGTGTTGACCGATGGAGGGCATCGCGTTCTCCCAGTCAACAAATGGACCAGCCAAGCGAGCACTTGAGGACACTGAAGCTGAAGCCCGCATTGGCCGATGCGAAGAGTGGCAAAAACCCATAGAAGGCTGAAGCCGCGGCACAGAGAAATGGAAGAGAGAAGAAGGATGCCAGATGCAAAATACGTACACTTTGTCGCAGTTGCTACATCGTTCCTGCGCTCTCCAAAGCTAGGCACCGAGTCACGGATCTTGACTCCACGCATTAGTTTCGCTTGCAGAAGATCACACTTGTTGAGAACTGTAGCATTTTTGTCAATATCAGCCTATCACAATCAATGATCGCAGGGCAACGCACATAGCACAAGTTGTGTCCTTGCCAGCAGTTTACATGAGCACACGCTCTTCCATAGCATATAACTGTCCTCGAGGCGGTTGACACGTTTGTCTTCTGCCAGTTTTTCGTCGAAGCAGGATACGGGTCTACACGTTTCCGTTTGAGCTATACTGAATAAGAACGGAACAATGGAACCCACGCAAGGAAGATAATGGCATCACAGTCATCGAAATAGCTGTACCATACAATCCGCTACGAGAAGATGAGTTATGACAAAGGAAATTCAATGATGATGAACGCACGCTGCTCCTGGTACCCCCGACATCGTACATCCGCCACTCGTTGCCCGCCGAGTGACCTTGATAGTTTGAGGTAGGGAAACAAACAGAATAAAAAGCACGCACCGTGTTCAAACGTTACTCGATACTCTTGGACACCTAGGGTCCTTAGTCTGGCACGAATGATGTCTTCATCCGTAATCTGGTAGTCCTCTCGGGCGATTCGATCGACATCGTTGAGGAAACTGCAAAGGCGATCAGGCGGGTAGCAAGCAAAATGTGCAACGCACAAGCCGGCTGAATCCTCTATCCTGGCCTTACGCCGTGCCATCATTTCTCTTACTACTCGGTCTTCCCAAAGGGCCCGTATGTCGTCTCGACAGCCAGCAAGCACACTCAACACCTCGTCTTCCAAGTCCCGCACGCCTCTCCGGACATTCTCTTCGCCGCTTCTCCGTATTGCCCTGAACTTCTCCAGTGCTGTTTTCCAGCCATTTCGTGAATTTATGCTGAACTCGGTATGATTTTTCCCGCGCTCCTTTGGCCCTGAGGTACTAGGATCGAAAGGGGCTGCCGAAGTTGTATTGGTGGTATATAATTCTGTTGCCGCAGCACCCAGTCGCGTTTCAAGATCGGCCTGCACGCGTCGCAGAGGGGCTAAACGAAGACGTAGTAGACGATGGGTATCTTTGAAACGTAATTGTGGCGACTGGCTATTTCGTGGCCCAAGTCCGATGCTGGTTCTCCGCACTTCGGCTATGACTTCGCCTTCTTCGTCAGAAGATAGTGGCGAGGAATCGGGGGAGTCGGCATTGGAAGTGCTGATGCCCAACGGCTTGACGTTGGGATGCGATGACGAGGCTGGAGGTAGACCAGCAGTTTGTGCCGCAAGCATTTCGCGGCCAAGTAGGTCGAGAATTTCGTTCACGTTGCGCACGAGGTTGAGAAGGATAACACATCGCCATGAAGTCCGTTCCTCAGCCCATTGTCGCCGACAGTAGAGCATTTGAAACTGTGTGGATGATTAGGTTAACGAAGGGAAGATATTATTACACAGAGGGGCCCACATCTAGGACACCGCCGTCAGTGGTGAGAAGAGAAATAAGGCAAGATCCCAACTTTTTAACGTCGCAGTCTTCCCGCTCTCGCTCTGGCCAAGTAATAGTAGCTTGACTGGTTTCTTCTTCTTCTCAGCTTCGCGCTCGCGTCGAAGTTGTGCGTCGATCTCGTCGCTTATTCGACTTGCCTCTCTTTCTGCTCGTTCCCTCACCTCCCTTTCGGCCAGCGTCTCGTTGGGTGGTGGAGCAATAGCGAGAGCAAGAGGATCCTCGTCATAAGTTCGAACCATCACTTATGTGGGGTTAGGCAGATTGCAGCCAAGCGGAGATGGTGAAGGGGGGAGGAGACGGGAAGGGAAAGCCAAGCCCTAGCGGTCTTGTATAAAGATATGCAGTGCTGGTGCAGGGTGTAAATGGACTTTAATTTTGTGACGCAAACCGCGTGACTGGCAGTTGGTCGGTCCTGACTGCTCGGAAGCTTGCAATTGATCCACGCCACTAAACCTCGAACTTGTTGATATACTCGGGATCGCAATTCACTCTTTTCGTCCTCAAAGACGACTCCTCGCATCCGGCATGCCCGCCCACCAGTCTAGGCCGTAGTTTTTGCTCACTAGCCACTACCTTTGCGAGTCCCGAGCTGCCGGAGGTTTCCATCTGCGATCTGTTTCATCAGGACATTGTTAGCTCCTTCGACAGCAAAAAGGCACATACTCTCCCACAACCAAAGATAGATATCGATCCTTCTTCTTCTCCGCAACCTGTACGGAGCGCCAGTTGTCCAACAAACGATACCTTTTTGCGGAGCCCCGATTTCTCCGATTCGGTCGACGCGAGACCGAAGTTGGTGAACCCTAGACGGCCCGAGTCACTCTGCGAATGCTTCACAACATACAGCGACACGTTTCACGGGTATCTACGACCAATGCAGATCCATTCTCACTCGCCTTTACACCGATTCTTCTCCTTCAAATGACTCATCTTATTCAACAAAAAGTATACCGATGGGAGATCGACAGCTACCGCCTTTCTCTCACTGGCACAGTCTCTCACTGGTGTTTGTTCTGAACAATCTCGAGTGCTCCAGTGACTTGCATCTGGCAGTTTACTACATCCCCACTGGTAATGTTGGTCAGGATAGAACACCGGATGAGCCAATCACACTAAGTACTTATCATAGATCTTGAAGGCTCTCAGGCTTCACACTCGACCGAATCTGATCAAGTCAGACGCCCAATCTCTCTCTCCTCGACGACAGTGTGAGAACTATTATTCCAGAGAGGCCGGACCGGAGGAGCCGGCGAACTGGTCATAGCTCCGCACCAAAATATGTTGTCTCCCAACCGGAAACCTTCCTGCTCTACATCATCGGTATAAATTGCTTTCTGAGAGCGCTTCTCGAAGTTTTTCTCCAGGTTGGCACTCACAGTAAACCCGATAACTCCGTTTCTTTTGCAGGGTCAATAAAAGTACATATCACTTCAAGTGATGCTTTCTCCTTGTATGCACGCGATGCAAAGGCGTCGAAATAGCGCCTAGAGCACAGCCAAAGCGTTCACGATGACAGACTTATGGTATACTGACAGGTTGAAGAATGCAGACAACTCCACATCCCTTCATTGGCGATCTCCATCTAATCAAGTTCCCGAGAATACCCCACAGTCTGGTCCATCTATCAGGCGCGGAAAGACTTCTGCTGGGCAACGTTGACAAAGCTGGGGTCATTGCTACTATTTTACAGCGCTTATTTATGAACGGCAAATCCACACACCGATGCGGGCGATGTCTCTGCCTCCTGGCGCTGAGCTGTTGAACTGTTGAACCCACAGCTATCGCTCTGCCGCCTGAGAAAATTGTGATGTCAATACGCTGTGGTTTGGGTATCAGATACTAGTAGCAATGTCAGGCTCCAGGTAATCGATCGTTGCCGTAAGTATTTACTCCCCATTTCCAAGTTATGGCTCCGCACCTCCAATAATAACCTTACCCACAAGGTATTGTTTAAAGCGCTAGCGGCGATCACCACTAGCAATTCGCGTTGAGGTTCGTGATAATCTCTGAGTGCCGTACGCCTACTAAGCTATACGCATTCCATTACCTTCCGCATAGGCTCCGCATCCGACAACGAGGCCCACTTTAGCGACCATCAGACTAAGGTTACGTGCTGATTTGTGATGAAAAACCCGCACTAATGCCTTGCGTGTAGCAAGCACGGCGCGAAGGTAATACTTACTTCCGCTTCTTTTCCGCCACGGCGGGCCCTGTATGGACTCTCAAGCTGTGGCACATCGATCCGGTCAAACTCCATATCGGAGTCTTTGGCTGCAAGCATATATAAAGGACCGGCAGGATCGATAACCTCAGTCAAAGCCATAACCCCAGCATGATCTAGCCATATGGTCTATGTATATGCCCTCTCATCCCGCCGCTATGCTCTTCTTCTTCTCCTACCCCCCATTATCACCCTACTGCATACGACTATAAAGACCACGATGCAAGTGAGTCTTTTTGCGCCAAGTGAACGGGATACGAAACAGCTACTAATAACCTCCGAGTCAGGCTCGCGGCTGTGGGGATTCGCAACTGATATTCGGGCTTAATGTATACGCGAAGGCGGACCCATCGAATCATTATTTGCGTTTATATGTTGCCGCATCGTTCTTAATTACGCGTAACATATTCGCAATGACCATCACCTGACCGTGTGTCATCATAAGGATCGATGTGACATTCGTGACCGCCGTGACCAGCCTCGCTTGCGTCACCGCGACGCGTCTCCAGACAAAAATCCCTCCCTCGATCCTCTTGCTTCCTACTTCCTAGTCTTGTTGCTACACACCGTCACGAACTGTATACTCGTGTTGAAACGCAATCATGGCCCCACTGTCAGTATCGATCAAGCATGCGGGCAAAACATACGCCGTCGAGCTGGATCCAGACCTGCCGCCCAAGGCATTCAAGGAGGCGATATACCAGGTCACTGGTGTTCCCGTTGACCGGATGAAAGTTATGGTCAAGACGGGAGTGTTAAAGGTCAGCCTTTTGTTTGTTTGTTTTGTGTCAGTTTGGTTCTGCGCTGTGTTCGTTGCTGCTTGGCGTGCAAGAACCATCTTTCGTCGTTTTGACTCTTTTTTTGATCGCTTTCTTGACGTTGCTTGTTCGACTTTTTCCTTCGAAGCTTAGACTGATCGCTGTGATTATCTGCAGGATGACGCCCAATGGTCAAAAATCAATCCCAAAGCCGTACGCTATTCGTCCCGCTTGGAAACTGCTGTTAAAGGCACGATGTAGAATCAAACATTCACCGTGATCGGCGCAGCAGGCGAGCTCCCAAAGCCACCAGAGAAACCAATCGTGTTTCTCGAAGGTTGGTTTCTCTTCTTCCTTGACACTCTCACTAACCGTGTGCTCATAGACATGGATGACACGGAATTAGCAGAGGCGGTATGTTTTCTAGTTTTGTTGCGAATAATTTCAACGTGTCACCTAGCTCGCGAAACCTGTCGGTCTCCGCAAGTATGCAGCCCATTTCCCACCCGATGACTCCCACATACTAACAACATGACCAGCCTCGGCAACACCTGTTATATGAACGCAACTCTTCAAGCCATGCGTGCAATCCCTGAATTACAAACTGCGCTGAACGTAGAAAAGTGTGTCATCGACAAATACTACTTTCACGTATCTCGGCATGTTAATATCTCTCCAGGCCGACTCCAGCTTTGGGGTCTGCATCGGCGGAAGGATCCAACGATATGCCTGGCCTCGAGGTTGCCCAATCAACACCAGCAGCTGGTCCTCGGCCCGTTTTGGCCGCGTTGCCGGCTGCGTTAGGTTCGTTGTATTCCAAGATGGTTCAGACGGCAGACACAGTTGCCCCAATCGCCTTTTTGAACTTGTTGCGAGAGGTAGCCAACTTTATCTTCTGGAATGTTAACTGACCAGCGCCGAAGGTCAACCCACAATTCGCTGAACGTGATCGAGGAGGCCATTCACACAACAACTTGATGGGCGGGGTGTTGTTTGCACAACAAGACGCTGATGAATGTTTAACGACCATTGTGCAATCCTTGTCCAGCGTGCCTGGACAAACTACTTCTGGAGAACTCGACACGAACAAGAAGTTTGTGGAGCAGTTCATGACTGGCCGAATGGTGCGGACACTGAAACCCGCCGACGCATCCATCGATGAGCCGACATCGACGAGCAGCGAGAATGTGCTCAAGATCACGTGCAATATCGACGGAACGGTCAACTTCATGGCATCTGGTATCCAGAAATCGCTCTCGCAAACGGTCGTGAAACGTTCGCCGACTCTGGGAAGGGATGCGGATTACCAGCAAGAGTCGCGGATGACGAGGCTGCCGGCGTATTTGTTCGTACATATGGCGCGGTTTTCGTGGAGAGCGGATATTAACAAGAAGGCGAAGATCATGGTATGTCGCTTGCCAGTTTGCATCGCTCTGCGAAGAACACTAACTTGTGGTGTAGAGGAAAGTCAAGTTCCCGACAGAATACGACGCCCTTGACCTGTGTTCGGACGAGCTCAAAGCCAAACTGCTGCCTGTCAGTCGAAAGCTGAAGGCTTTGGAAAAGGAACGTGATGAGCGACGAAAAGTGCGGAGGAAGACCAAAGTCAAAGCTACTGCTGCTCCTGCTACTACTCTGGCACCAGCTGCCGAAGGAGACGTCGAAATGGGAGAGGCATCCGCGTCAGCGGCTGCAGCAGACCAGGGTGGCGACCTGGAGGCGGAAAGCGCATACCGCGCCCGTGAACTGACCGAGCTCGAAGGCCTGATTGACGCCTCGCTGAAATCGGACGTTGGCGCCAATGTGACGGGATTATATGACCTTGTCGGGATCGTGACGCACAAAGGCGCTGCTGCTGATGCTGGGCACTATATTGGCTACGTCAAGAAGAGTGTTTTCCATGCACCAGTGCTGGGCGAAGAGACGGAAGGAGACGAAGACTGGTACAAGTTTGATGATGACAAGGTGTCGCTGTTCCCCGCGAACAAGTTGGCGACGCTGGACGGTGGAGGGGAGGATTCGTCTGCGTATGTGTTGTTGTACAAAGCAAAGCCATTGGCGTAAGGAGAGGGTTTCCATAGAAATACAACAGACAAATAACAAAGAAATTGCGATACAAACAATACTTAATAACTTTTATGCAGTCGCCGACTCTGCCTCGTCGAGTGTGTCAGCAGACGGTACAGCAGCTGACGTAGCTGCCCCCCGCAAGGCTTTCTGCTCCAGCAGCGGGCACTACATCCCTTCATTGACAAAGAAGTTAGCAAGCCAGGCAAAAAACAATGGACAATCCACGCACCACTTTATCTGGAAGCGCGTTACCCTTGGTTTTGCGCTGATATCCCTCACCAGCCTCTCCCACACGACCTTCTTAAGCTCACCGTTCTGCGCCGCCTCCCGCATCTCGTCGTTGTCGTATTCCGTGTTCTGGTAATACCCGACCCGGACGAACTCCTGCTCCTTATACGACCCCGTGAGAATCAGCGCTGCGACGCCAAGCACGTCCTCCGCGGGGATTTTGGCGGGGTCGGGGGCGGTGCCCTCGAACTCGAACGCATTGACGCCCATGGGCACTGGGCCGACAAGACAGTCATCCAGCTCCTGGTCAAGCGACTCGTTACCCGGCGAGGAGACGTAAATTAATTTCCATTCTAGGTCTGGGGCGTAGCATGAGCGGCAGGCAGAGGAAAAAAGCAGTGGTTGCCACACACCGTCCTTCAGCTCCGCGATGCACTCAAAGGTCACCCGGAATCGATACGGGTCCGAAAAGCGCGCGGGGTTGTTGAGGAATTCGACGTTCTGGCGGACTCTGCTTCAGCTATTCACACTGGCGGGTGGGGGAGGAGAGGAGGACGAACGCGGATGGTGACGATCGACATGGTGGGAGGCAAGTAAGTAATAAAAAAACGCGAACAGTCACTGTGACGCCTGTCATTACAAGTCTACCACTCGTTCATCTGCATAGACCAGTCTGAAAATAGGTGCAGCGCTGTATCCATCATCACCCTCTCCCGCATCCCCCATGGGGTCATCAACAGGGACAAGAGTCTCCCCTTGCCTTTCTTCATCAAAGTGGCTGCAACGCCCAGGAGCTGCTCGTCGCCAAACCTCTGAACCGCGAATGCGAAGTCAATCAAGACTATACTGTCTGTCTCTGGCCGATATCCAGGGCCGGCGGGGAGCAATATCTGTTCGCCGTGGTAGTCGCCCTGGTCGACTCCTGCATACAATAGAGCACGTTGGCACTCGCGAAGGTGACGTATCTTCAAGATGAGTTAAGCTCGGAGGGTTGGCTGAATGGGCTTACAAAGGATCGCTGCACGTCTTCGTCCCATGCGGAAGGCTCGGCTTTCCCGAGAGATGGCCCAGGGATGACTTCAAGCAGAACGCCATAGGCATCAATCGAGTCCTTCACCGTGAACTGGACGACATTGGCAAGGGAAGCATGACTGGGTTGAACACTCACTCGATGAAAGCCGTAACAATGGGGTATCAAGCTCCCCTGATGCTCCTTGAGCCGGTCATACGCCGCCTCCTCCCGTCTAACCAGATCTTCCGCGTAATGAAGAGAGGACAACCGGAAGCGTGGCTGCCGTTTGTCGAAGTCATCACATAAAAAATCCTCGTCCACAGGAAACAAGGCGTCCACGAACAATTTAAGACATATCGTTGGAGATTCGACACCGTCCAGATTGTACAGTACTCCGAGAAACACTTGCGAAAACGAGTCGGACTGGTGGCGGACTACCTTGGTCACTCGAAAATCCAGAGTCTGGCCGGAAACAAGAATTTGGTCCACCGCAACTAAACGAGGCCGTGGATTACGTCCAACATACTTTCTCGTCGTTGCCTGGATAGGCGGATTCGGAAACGGACAGCGCCACAAGCTTTCCTCGAGCCGGAACGCGTCGATGCTGACGGAAAGTGACGTTCCTGGCACCAGGGGCCGTTCAGAAAGTCGTTGCGACTCTTCGTCTTTCCAATCGAGAAGACCTTCCAAATCAGCGAAGCTGCGTTGGAGAGTGAATCGATCGAAATCCTTCAATCGAGAGGGTTTCAGAGGAGGAGAGATAGCCTGGTCGGGATCATTCTGTAGATTCATGGCGCCATGAAAATGCTTTCTCCAGGGAATAGGATTGAAGACTGTCGGGTGATTCGAGGGATCTGGCATTTGACAGAGGAGGAGACAAAGTATATGGCGTAGAGAATGAGAGCCGTTTGCGGCAGGGGACAGCCAGGTATAGACCATTCGGACAATGTGCTGGGTAATGGACTTGAGAACGATGATCCCCTGTCCATCGCTGATGAGAAAAAATCTTGGGTTCTCTGGAAGAAAAGTCTTCTTGAAGTGCTCGAAGAAGTCGTTCATCAACGAACACTCGACGGTCTCGCGAGGAGGAAGAATTCCCGCCCAACATATTTGCCCTGGAGACTAGCTCATTTCATACAAGTCTTCCCGAGCAACAAAACAGTGGCGCACCATGAAATGAAGGACTATATGCAACTCCCTGTTATTGTCGTTGATTTTGTGAATGCGAACACAGTCCCGATCTAGCGAAGCAGTCAATAGATAATCAAAACCATCATTGGGAAGACCTGTGAAAGTTTCATCCTCAGATGTGAACTTGAAGCAGCTCTCGCCCGCAAGATATGTGTGAAAGATGTCCAGTACTGGATGCACATACTTTTCCGCCGTTGTGCTAGAGAAAACAAACGTATAAGCAGCGGAGAATCAAGCATGCAGAGCTGTGGGCACATTCGTGGACGATTGGACTCGGGGAAGGGTTTGAAGCGAAAGGCGGCCACGCGCTCTTGATATACGTCCTCGGAAGGCTGGAGAGTGAAGCCGTAGATCTTGGTCTCAAAGCTTGCGAGGGAATGACAACAGTCGTTTTTGCAAGGGGTTTCGCCATCGTCGTGGCCGCCGCTCAGAAAGTCAAGGATGCTGGCCATGATGATAGTATAGCCGTCTCATTTGTATCAGAGAACGATGAGCTACACCGCAGCTTCGGAGTCGCAGGTCAAAATTGGGTGCAAGGGAGCGTTTGTTAGTCAGCATGGTGGACCGCATTATGTAACCCCAACTTTGACCATTCTGTCCTCACAATGTGGCATTATTTCTCGATAGTACAGACCGAGACGTACAGATGTGCAATCATGTCCATCATGCGGTTTTGTCCTTGAGGTTCTAATATCAAAGCACAATAACCACAAAACATGCACAATATCCATTCGCACACACATAGGTTCTTCACATTTTCAGTCGTATCAGATGCCACGACAACAACTTAGACCAAGGCTCGTAGAGCAGCAAGAGGCGCCAAACACCGAAGTGCTCGTTTAAAGTAAATTTGAACCAACACATCAACGAGAGCTGATTATACGGCTGACGCCATGCGGGAGTGCTGAACGGTAGTGGAATTTAGCCCGAGGGGAGAACAACATGGAAGAGCCGTGCTTACCGATTGGTTTCATACCATAGCCAACAAGTTGAGCAGAGGCAGAGAGTAAAGCCGCTACATGGTCTGGCTCCCCTCGAGGGTATTCTTCCTCCTTGAGCTTCGTGATAAGCAACCTGCGAAAGCTGTCCCGATCTTTCTTCAGCGCAACCTCGATGAACGGAAGTGGCATGAAGCATGTCGCCCCAAAATCCAACGCCACCACGACTGACTGGCCATCCGGCGTCGTAGTTTTCTTGAAATTATCGGGGCTGAAGTCGGAAAGACAGAGGAATCGATCGTAACTCGATAAATCGCATGGGAAGTCCATGCGCAGGTAATGAAAGATCTAATAGAGCTCGACATAAGTAGCAACTTGGGATGATAGCGAACACTTACGTTCCGGATGTGATTGAAGAAATCCTGGTCAGACCGATAACTAGCGTTCGGGAGCCAGCCGCAGAAGAAGGAATGGACAATAGAGCTTGTGTCGCCGCCGAAGCGTCCGAGTGTCGCGGTTGGTGGTGCTTTGAGGTTGATCAGCGCCTTTACAGCCCGCGCAACGAGGTCGACGTCACTCGAATCGCAGTCTGCACCCTCTATGTGTTCTAGGGCTTGGTTTTTGAAAAAAAACCGGGTTATCTAACCGGTTTGTTAAATTTTTCCTCCAACCACTGTTTATAAACCGGTTTTTGTGTTTATAAACCGCCGGCCCGAGAAGCCCGAACAGCCGAAAATTGCCTTTTTTGGAAGGTATTGGTGTAAAAATGTCTGCGCTGGGACGTTGAGCAATGTAGAATATGCGCAAGAAAACACAAGAAACTATCAAATTAGAATGTAACATTGTCCAAACTGCTAATCATCTCAATAACCTTTCGTTTGGTGCCGCGTTGAGGGCCATCACTTAGTCCTCCGGTGGTCGCCGATGTTCCACCAACTGCTGCGACGAGCTTATCGGTAAGAAGATCACGGAAGAACGGCAAGGTGATGTCTGCAACTTCGTCCACATCGAATGATGCGCTGTTCCAGCTAGTTTTAGCACACGCATCATGCTCACCATCATTGCCCGACGTCAACTCGTGCAGCCCACGTTCTGCTTCATCGTTGAGCCCTGGCGTGATCTTTGGGTCTTCGGAAGCAGAGCCACTTGCAGCGCTAGCCTCAGCGGCCAGTGCACTTGCAGTCGATGTCGAGGAGGTCTTAGCTACCTTGCTCGGAGCAAAGGAGGCACGAACACTACGCCAATTCAACGTAGGCGGCTTTGACTAGCAGCATGATTAGTCGTCAAATATGTTGTCCATACAAAAGCATACCCCCAAGCCATCATTGGACTGAACTTCCCGTCTTACAGGCAGCTGTCAGATCGTCTACCCACTTCATCATCAGCAGATTGTCACCCTCCGTTCCTGTAATTCGACGGCGAAGAGCCGTGACGACACCGAGCATGTATTCGCCGCGAAACTGAAGTTCTGGGGGACCATTGACGCGATTCCCGAATGTCACTTCAAGACGACGGCGAAGACACTGCCATAGTCGTCAATTTCGCCAGTGGTTGGCTCGAGTTCTTCAAGAGAGTGTGTGGACTCCGGAAGGGTTGTGGGAAGTGCCTTAATGTAGCGCTCCAGTTCATTGAGCTTGTGAAAGTATGGTGGGGGCATTTTCGGAAGCTGACTCAGACACGCGTGACATCACGCATTTCCCTTTCGGGAAGCTTATTAATATAAAACCATCAAACAGGGCAGTCTGGGCAAAGGTGTTTATAAACATATAAAACCAGATAGCTAGTCTTGCTATCAACTCTCCATGGAGAGCTCTCCATGGAGAGTGCTGCTTTGCCAAGGCAGCTCTGGTTGTCATAGTTTTCCACCTGTAGTTGCCTACACAATCCAACTTATGTCTCTTACCAGCACTACTGTAGCTGCCTACAGGCTAAACTGGCCTAGATGACTTGGTAACCCAACTGTAGATGTCATAGCCATACATCTATAGATGCTGGCTCAACCTACCATGAGATGAGTTAGAAGGGCAGCCCAGGGTGAGCTGTAAGAGCAGCTGAGGCTGCTCCAAGCAAGGCACCTATGCTGTTCAGGTTCAGACATCATAGGCTGTTTCCCCAAGGCTTCTCATGAGGTTCTGAGTAATACATCCTGGTATGTTTAGACAGTCCAGCCAAGGCAGGCCTAATAAAGCAGCACGCCCATGTGACAATTTGACTAAGCGGCATGCAGACACGCTCCTTTATCATGTCCTCCACCCCCTGCTCTAGCCTCCCAGCTTGTCAACAACCAAGAAGAGCTGTATACACTGACTCTCTTTGTCAGTCTTCTCTCCCGTCTCTGGACCCATGTTGTCTATCAAGATGAGATTCCACTCATTCTCTCTCGGAGCAAGCTCAAGGACTTTTTGATCCTGTTGTTCAACACTGAAGAGCTTGTTGACCATCTGTGGCTCACAACTCGTCTTCATATCCAAAACTGGCAGGGTCCAAAGTTGGAGGAGAAGGTGGATGGCCTCTTGCAGCAACATGGGGAGGCGTTTGAGCTTGGTTTGTATTGTTCCGGTTCAGCTCTCTATATTCACCTTCTTTCAGGAACGGAAATGCTCTATCCACCTCACCGTAACTGTGTGGGTCAACTAAATGAAAGGTGCCGGGGTTATCGACTCGCTCAACCTCAACGTTCTCCCTGTCGCATTTTTACGTTGCGCCGAGGAGTTCTTGCTGCTTATGAAGTATCTCTTTATTGTGCTGGTAAGTCTTTGGCCTTATACTCAACAAATAGTCAAGCATGGGTCACTAGGATGCAAAACACGTTACCACTACGCTTATCATGTAAGCGACGCCGCACAAGCTGACGCCAAACGTTACTACTACCGGGAGCCTCTATTGTACATTCAAGCTCAAGAGGCATCATTCGTTGACCGTGATCTTTGCGTTTATTTTGAGAGAGAGCACTGGCAATTTCCCAGTAAGGCCTTTCAGCTTCATTTCACAGCTAAATCCGTTTAGCACGTCGACTTCAGATTTGGCCGAAATCTACAATGACACCCTTGGGAACCCTAGCAATATAGTCAACTCTCCTCTCCTCTCTACTATCAGTCAGTCAGCTGTTCTGGATGCTTTCTTCATGCATAGTCTGCTACGACGGGCAGACCGAGCGGGCGAAAGCTTAGTACTCCGTCATCAATGCACTCATGCTCAACGTCTAGAGCTTGCCTTCATTCACTATAACAAGGCTATAGTTCTCAACGGGCAACCAATGCGGCTCCATGCCTGTCACGACTGTCTCAAGATTATTGAGGGGCAGGACGGCAGTCAGCGTACGTGACCCGCGACTAAGTTTCAACAGCATTTGACGATTCAATTCTAAGGCTTGTTACGGGCAGCAGTAACTGACGGCGTTACAATTGGCCATCCGTGCTGTCTCAAGTTTAACTGCCAAACACGACTCGAGTCAATCAAAGACCAGTTCTGCCCAATGCACCGAGGCTGTGACACTCAATGCCGAGTCTCTATATGCGAGATGCCTGCGGAGCCTAGCTTTATTACCTGTTCACTTCCGGCTCATCGGGAAATGGAAGAGAAGATGGTCGCCAGCAGCGAGTCAGTCTTTCGGGATCTGAATCGTCGCTTAGATAAGGGTAACGTGCCCCGAACACCAAGGCGTCTCCGCTCTCATAAATCTAATGGACCCAAGTCCCAGGGCAGGCTTGAGACCCATAGGAAGTATACTCATAATGACCAGCTCTTGGTACTCCCATGTGGTATCATCACAGGTAGAGCCACATTTTTCACGTCAGAAGGTCAGGACTCAGTACGGGTATGTTTATCTATCCTGGAGATTTCCTTATCTGTGACTGATAAGGAAATAGCAATTCCTAAAGGCTATGTTTCCTGAAAAATGGATGCTTCCAACTCACTTGTTCTACGATAATGCTTGCCATCTCTTGAAGCATATTATGACTGAAAACGATCATCACTTTGACAACGTCAACTTCGTTCTGGATGTCTTTCACTCCTCCGGTCATGATGACGAGTTTTGCAACAATCACTGTCTCCCCATTCTCTCCTCCGAGCTCAGAACCAAAGACACTTGGACCTTCAACTCTTCAGTCTGTGAACAAACCAATGTGTGGTATGGCGCGCGTTTCAGTCTATAGTGCGCGCGAGATGCCCGAACCACGGTATAAAGTTTTCCATGCACAAATACACTAACTTATATTGTCAGTTATAATTTTTTCCTTGACGAGATGGTATGGGTGTCCAACGTTCGACGATCAGCTATGCTGGCCAAACGCGGAAAGCAGCCATTTATAATGGAGAAGAGACTATTTAAAGAAGAATGGAAACCTGTATTGAACTAGTTGAAAATTATGCTGCACCAGCCAACGCAGCTCTACTACGTAAATTATAGTGATTAAGTCCATCGCGGCAGGTTTGAGCACGGTTTCGATTACGGCGGTTGTCAGAAGCATGATCTCCCTCCGAACGAGCACCAGCATTCATGGCCTGAACACTAGGCATAATCGACCCATGAGCGTCGCGTCCGTCAAAAGAGCCTATCACTTTGTCAGAAACTAACATAAAAGTCAAGACGTTAAAAGATACCAGGCAGCATTGGTGACCGTATACACAGCTACCCCCCATTCAACATAAGCGAAGTTGAAGTCATGTTTGCCGCAGTTCTCCTTGAGCAATTGGAAGCAGGGATGTAGACACCCACCCTCCACATCGTCGTCCCGATGAATGCAGCTGAGAAAATTGCTGCAGTGGTAACCGGTTAACCCATACTTGCCCATATAGGCCAACTCTGCATCCTCCACCAGCTCCCGGTAATGCGCGGCAGCACCACCTCCAAATGGTTCGTGCACCCTCCACCAATAGATTCAAAGTCTATGAGGGTTGTCAGCAATAAGTCAGGCAGAGTTTAGATAACTGACCAGGGCGTGTCGCATGAGAGCTAGCAGGTCCTCTGGCGTGGCACCACTGTGGCAGGCATACGCGTTATAGATGTCACCCTTGATCCCACCTTTTGGTTGTCGTGTACCGTAGCCCGTCATAGAACCAATGTGAGACCATCTGTCCATCGCCGCGCGCCGGCGAATCCCGTGTACTTGAACGAGGCGATGATTTTCGGTGAGAATCTTGAGTATTTCATCTGAGAAAGCGCAGAAGTTAACCCCGCCAACCTGTAGGATCATCAGATAACAGCACAAAGAGCAAGAAGAAAGAGAGACCAGTCGGCGCTTGCCATCTTCCCGACACCAGAAACGCACAATGTCACGCCCACACCTTTTCGCCACATCATCACGTTTCCCATAGTACTTGAGATTGAGACGTGGGTCGTCAGGGGAAATATACTGTTGTCGTTTGCCCTTCTTGGATTTTTTTGCCCTGGATTGCGTGTCAGTCAAGAAATAGTGCGGAGGTCAGAAGGCACAAACGTTGAAAGTACGTGGTTGAAGACGGTCCTTGCCTTGTGCATGGGTGATCGCGTAGTCGGTTAACTTGCTGGCATGGGGATTCCGGAAGACTTCTTCAATCCGAACGCAATACTGAGATTTGTCGCCAGCCGAGCATTTTGGACACGAGCGGTCCCGCCACCAGGAAGGCGCGTGAGGGTCAAGCATGTCCGGGTTGTCATTCCCATCATCGTCCATCTCCAAACTCTGAGAGTTGTCGTTAGCTTGCTGCTGCTCTTCAGTATGCGTAGATTGGCCCGCGCGTTTGGTCCGATTACGCTTCTTACGCGAGCTGCGTCCTTCACCGCCTAACCGAATCTCCGAAATCGGTGACTCATCCCGCTCCCTTTTTACCCCCTTGCTTTTCGTGTTATCAAGTGCAGGTTTGCTATGAAGTTGGTTCTTGACGTCGTCAAGAAGGCTACGCTGCCAGAGAGATTCGGTGGTGATTGTCCGCAACCGCGGGTCGAGGGTTCTCGACAAAGATCGTGGCTTCATCTCGAACAACCTGGTGAGGAGGAACATTTTTACGTGCAGGCCGGGGAACAACAACATAGCCCATTACATGGTTGTATACCATGTGTGGGTCCCAACGATCCGGATCCTAACCAGTAAGTCAAAAACGATGACACTTGTCAGGCCTTAGACTCACCGTCTTCCAACGCGGCACGTCCTGGATAACGTTGCATGCAAGTCTTGAGATGTGGTTTAATCCACCGGCGCCAATTGATAGCAAACGCAGCCTGTGACATAAACAGGAAGGCCGCCATGGGGTTGTAGGACCAAGGCTGCATTTCACGTGTGGTGCTTAGGAAATCCAGAAAGTCGGGAGCGAATTGTGTATTTCCGATTGCAGGATCAATCAAA